TAAAATCTTTTTTTATTAAAGTCAAAGTAAAAATTATTTCTTTAAAAAAATTAACTTAAAAAAATAATACATAACTTAAATTTGTTGATTTATGCCAAGAAAATAATTCTCTGCAGTACAAATTTGTGTCATAACTGTACAGTCAAGTTATTAAAATTTTCATCACATTTCAGCGACACAAATGAGAATTGATTGTAACCATAGGAAATTCAAACTTGAATCAGTTTTTTTTAAAAATAAAATTGATAATAATTCATGTAGTTTATTAATTAAAAAATTACTACCACAAGAAAAATTTATGATATAGGTCTCAGTGTATTCTTCTGGAATATTAAAGCTAAAACTTTAAGTTTCATAATAAGCTTTAAATTTTCATAATATATATTACATAATTTTCATTTCATAAATTATTTCCCTATAAGAAACACTTTATTTTTTATTTTGTGACATGGTTAAGTTAACGACAAACCGACCTTATATATTCACCAATGCAGGATACTTCTCTACAAGATCTCCAAGACTAGTTTGCCACAACACTTGATCCAGGTGTGCCCTTATCTTCTGGGTTAGGTTCAAATTAACAAGGCTACGGAGATGAAGACTGATAGTCATAAGCTTGGAATTGAGTCAGCGGTTCAACACCAGTTATAAAGCAAATTTAAAGAAAAAAAACCTGACTTAACAGCTAAAACTAGAAGGTTTGCTAATTAAACATCAAAATAAGCTGCTTTCCACACCTGTGTAAAAGTTAACCACATTTTAGGTGCACTGATGTGTAAAACTAGACTGCAACAGACAATAGTTTACAAAAAAGTGCACAGCATTTTCAAAATCTGACATTCTTGGAAGTTCTCTAAGCGAAAATAGTATGGAGTTAGTGGTTTGAATTTCAGTAAAAATCTAATCTGTTCAATTCTGTGCTTAAAAGTTTCATTGCAATTACAGAAGGAAAAAATCACTTTTAGAAACATTACATAGCTTAATCCACAAAGACTGTCAGAGATAGTAAAATTTGAAAATCAATTACAACATGTTTTAGAAGGAGAAAAAGAAGCAAGATTCTCTTCAGTTTTAACAAGAGTTCCTTACACTAATTTTAATGTTTAATATTTAGACATTTTATTTTTTAAAAAAGAAAAATTCTTAACTAATGTGTCTTTTTATGCAGTTTGAAATTGCTCTTCCCATTTCCTGTATTTGTATAAATAGCAATTAGCAGGTTTTGAATCTAGGTTATCAACACATCTAAATAGTATAGGTTTCACAGAGCAAAATTGTGAAATTAGAATTTAGGTGAAAAATTTAAATTTTAACCGGCAAGATTCCATATTTTTTTCCAAAAAAATTAAATTTCGACTGCCAATTGTAAAATTTTTTACAATTTGATTCAAGAGCATACATATGAATTCGTTTATTGTTAGCCCTGATTTAACAAGATATCAGGTTTAACAAAGAAATTTTTATAGTTGGTTTATGCTAAAAAATACTATTGTTGCAAGCTTAATTTGAATTTAAAGAATTTTTAAATAACATCTTGTTACTCTTGTTGTTGTCGAGTTTTAAATAAAAAATTTTTCTAAAATTAGTCAGAATTTGATTTTTTAAAATTCTCAGGAACTATTCAACTGATTTTGTATTTTGCTTTGTAAAATTAAATACTTACAAATGATGTAAAAAATTGCATGTCTTACAATTCAAAATTGTTTTACTATAAATAAAATAATAAATATTTACAAAATTTTTTTTTGCATGGAATTATTTTTTGTCAAATGAATTTAATAATTGAGCTTAAAAAAAATTTCAATTCGCTTCAAAAGTTCAAGATAAGGCAAAAAGTAAAATTAACATTAAGGGGTCTAAACTTCGGGTCGCTATCCTGACCAACATGAATCCAGTTTGCGGCTATACTCTATACTTCGGAAGTAGGTAATCTAAATCCGTTGCAGAGAAAGCAAGTTTTGTCTGATTTCATAACTTAAAACATTGTCTGCACTTATTTATTGCACTGTATTTGTCTGCACTTACATTTGAGGTCACTCCCTTGAATCATCAAAAAAGAGACATTTTATACCAAATTTATGTTTCTTTCTTTACAAACCACAAGTTTTAGACTTTTTCAACCCCTCCAATACATGATCGTAATTCAGGGGTGATTGTGAGTCCAAGTCAAAATTCCGGAAAATTTCCTGAGTTTAAAAAAACAGTTTAAATTGAAAAAAATTTAAACAAGGTTTTTTTTCCTTTTTCTCATTATATTTTAGTTTAATAAAAATATATTTAAAATTTTACACATACTTATACCATTTACACATACCTATGATNAAAATTTTCAAAACGCCAAAATAAAAAATATTTAGCACTTTTTTAGGACATTTTAGGACAGCAAGAACCCTGGTGAAAAATTATTTTTTTGCAGGTAATTATTTTTGATTAAACGAATTTAATAATTGAGCTTAAAAAACAAATTTCAATTCGCTTCAAAAGTTCAAGATAAGGCAAAATATGCAAAAAGTAAAATTAACATTAAGGGGTCTAAACTTCGGGTCGCTATCCTGACCCACATGAACCCAGTTTGCGGCTATACTCTATACTTCGGAAGTAGGTAATCCAAATCCGTTGCAGAGAAAGCAAGTTTTGTCTGATTTCATAACTTAAAACATTGTCTGCACTTATTTATTGCACTTATATTTGAGCACTGTATTTGTCTGCACTTACATTTGAGGTCACTCCCTTGAATCATCAAAAAAAGAGACATTTTATACCAAATTACTTTCTTTACAAACCACAAGTTTTAGACTTTTTTAACCCCTCCAATACATGATCGTAATTGGATATAAGTGATCAAACAATTCTCTCTTCACACACCAGATTATCATAAATGAAACAAGACCGACTCTAGCAGCCCAAGATCGCAGAAACATGATCTCAATATAAGTTTCTCGTTTTACATCTTGTATACATACTAGTCATAGGAAGCACTTCTTTTTCCATCAGTCGGTCAGGAAGAGGTAAATCTTCGCTGAAAACATTTTAAAGATTTTATAAAAGCAAAAATTTCCTTGAATTTCAGAATGATGCTGCAAAAAACTAATGTGAGAATACAATATTCTTTCAATTGAAAAACAATGTATTTAACAGAACTTTGCTGTAGAAAGTCAAAGATACTAATTTGGTACTAAATCTACTTTTAGAAAGAAAATTTTTTGATTTTATATAAATTATTTATTGTGGTTCTCTTGTAAAACTTGTTGGATTATTAAAAATCCAGTTATTAATTATACAATAAGTGCTCCAACTTCAGGGCGATTGAGGGTTGCTTTGTAAATTTCTGACTCAAGAGACATTTTAAACAGGTTGTTTTTCATTGGTTGGACGAAAATTAAAGGGTGGGAAATAGCATACAGCAGAGAACGACGATAATATACATATGTGCCCGAGTGAAGTTTTGACAACTGATTTTAAAAAATTTCATATTAAAATCAAATATAATAAAATTGTTAGTTCAAAATCTTAAAATAATTAAAGTTAAAAAATTATTCACTTTATAAAAAATTCTGAAATCAAGCAACTATATATATATATCATTGTATTATCCCTTCATTCACACATTCAACTGAGCACTTAAAATTATATGCCTAAATTTAAAAATGTATGAAGAAAAATAATGTGTTTTCATGATTAAGACATAAAATAATTTGCATAGGTATATATTGTTCCGGATTCAATTTGTGAAAGTGTAATATAAATCTCTGAAAAGTGTTTCTTGGAAGAGTCATAGGTGTTTCGAAGATTGAGACTTTTTTTTATACCAGAAATGAGATTTGAAACAAACAATTATATTGTAATCAATAAACCATTAATTAATATTTTGATTATTTTTTACAAACTAAAAAAAGAAATAGCATTTTTAAAAAAAAAAAATGAATTTTGAAAAGGACATGTCTTGATAAAAAAAAAATAATGACATTGGTACCGTCATGACATTGGTACCGTAATGACATATAGAACTTTTAAATTCAAACTAAAACTAAATTTGACAAAAAATAAATATGATTCCCTGATAACAATTCTCCAACATTTACTAACACTTTCGTTTAAAAAAACTTCACAGAAAACTTTAAAGAAAAGTAATTTAATTTTAAGATTATTACAGAGAAAACATTAAAAATTTTCATTCTTTACATTAAACATTTTCAAAGTAATTAGTATTGCTTTTAATTTGTTTAGTTAATTGCTCGTTTTTAATAAATTTTTTATTGAACATTGCAGTTCTACTAAAAGAAAATTTATAATTTAGGATTCCATAGCAGAAAATTTTTTTTGAACCACTAATCTAAATTGCCACATTGGACATATAAATATTTTATCTCAATTTTAGAAAAATATTGGATTTTGTTACTGTAAAAATTTTGAACCGAAATTCAAATTAACTTAAATTTAAAATTTTTATTATATTAACATGAAAAGACTCAAGACTAGTTTAAAATTTTTAATAAAAATCCAAATTAATTTTGGATAATCAAGCTCCTACTGTTTTGAAACAAACATAATAAAAGAAAGACAGATTAATAGGACACTTTAAAAGTGTGGAATCTGTATTAACTGCAGAAAAAAAAGATAATCTCTAGCAGCTGGGGTGATAAAAAACTAGCAACTCAAGCAGAGAAGAGTGATTCAGCAAGACCATCACCTCCTATTTTATTAATTAATTGTCTTGTTCAAAATTTTTATTATATTAACATAAAAAGACTCAAGACTAGTTTAAAATTTTTAATAAAAACCCCAATTTATTTTAAATAATCAAGGTCCTACTGTTTTGAAACAAATATAAAAGAAAGACAGATCACTAGGGCTCTTTAAAATTGTAGAATCTGTATTCACTGCAGGGGGAAAAATGCATATCTGTAGCAGCTGGGGTGATAATAAACTAGTAACTCAAGCAGAGAAAAGTGATTCAGTGAGACCATCACCTTTTATTTTAATAATTACGTAACAATTTGTTTAAAATTAAACACAAGGCAACTTTATTTTTCTCCCTTTGGTGCAAAAAGACATTCTTCAAAGAACAAACCAGAACAGATAAACAACTACAATAATAGTTTACAACTGTCAAGTAGCACTTTTAAATTTTTATACAGAACAATGTTCACAGATGAAACAGATTTTTTATAAAGTAACAATAAGTATTCTTAATAAGTGGTTCCAATAGCTTAAATGGGGACTATGTTTGTAAGTAAATATCAAAGTTCAGTTTTGCTCTTTGCTTGCATAGAAATAGGTTTTGAAATCATAACCAAGATTTTCATTTCATCTCAATTCAAAACATCCAGAAGTACAATCACAGATAATTTGTAGAACAATTTTTCGATTGTAACACCACTCTTTGCTAATTGCGACCTCTCAAATGTGAATTTTTGGAAAAAAAGTTTATAAATTAGATAAAAATTTCATCAATAATTTAATTTACATATGTATTCTTATATACAATATCTAAAACATTCTATCCATTTTTCACCACTGATATACAAAACACTCCTTTTGCAGCTAAAAAAAAAAATTTTCAGCTTCAAGCTATTAAATATTTTCAAGGAAAAAATGAGGAGTGTGGAATTGCAATTAACATATATGCAATTTTTTTTAAAAAATAAAGATAAAACTATCATTCAATCACAGTTTTAAGAGATATTAGCTCTTAATAAAAACTGTTCATTAAACTATAATCAACATACATTAAAAATGTTCAACAAGACAAAAAAAGTATAAAATAATCTGAAAACACAATCTGTTTTTGCAGAGACCTGCTTTGCTTTTGCACTACGGTATTGAGCACTCTTTTTTGTTACTGACAGCCTTTTATGTACACTTTTACTAGTGCAACACAAACTTTGATAGAGCAATACACCACCACTCTTGGACCACAGAGATTGCATAAAACAGATATAACATTTGAAAAAATGGCTGCCTCCATCTTCTTTTTTCACGATTATTCACAGAATTTGTAATAGTTATCTTTTCAAAAGAGCTCTTAGATAATCGAAAACACAGGCACAATGCAAACATATTTCATCACTTGGATATTTGCTGTCTTATATGCTGAAGGAACTCATAATAGGAAAATAATGATTCTGTCCTATCATCAAGCATGTATTGCAAGAATAAGTACCTTTCTTTACTGTCTTCCCTGAAATGAAAGAAATAAAAATTAATTTATTATGCTTACATATATAGTATGAGCATGCATAATAGAGTGTCCCAAAAAGGACAGCTAAATTCAATTTTAAACAAACCAGATTTAATGAAACAGCTCAAGTTTTCTTTTTTAATTTAATAACAGCTTGAGCCACAGAGATAATATGTAATAGATAACATTTAAATTACAAAAATTATTTAGTTAATCTATTGGCAGTTTTAACATTTCAATTTTTACTGCTTCCAAATGTTTATACTATTTTATTTACTTATTTATTTATTTTTAATAAAACTGTGGCCCACACTTTCAAATAAGATAACTGTTTTGAACATTTATTTTCCTTCCTCCCAAGTTAATTCTAGATGGGTGTAGCAGTGCAAAAAAAATCAGAGGCTTTTTTTGTGTATGCAAGACCATTTGTAGGAACAAAATGAAATGAGGTTTTCTATGTGCATGACCATTTGGAAAGATAAAAAATTACTATCTTCTACAGGCAGAACCACCAGTGTGAATGTATCGATGTACTGTATTGAAAACACACTTTAAATTTAATTTGTCACTATTTGTTGTGGATTTCAGGATGCATGCATCATTTGTTCATTACACTTCAATGCCATAATCATGTAATCTACAGTAAGTTTCAAGACAAGGTTGGGTCACTTAGATTGTGCAACTTCCTCATCATTGGCACAACAGTCCAGGGGAGAGCCATGATCTCCGCTTGGTCATTTCTCAACACAGTTCTTTTAACATCTTTAAATTTTTGTTAACAATCCATTTTTAAAAGAAGCATGCATTGAAATAAGATATTAATTGATGCATGAATGAAATTCCGTTACAATCATACAAAATTATGATTGAAAAGTTCATCAAAAGAAATGTAAATGTTCCAACAAAACTATGAAAAACATCTGACAAGGGCGTTATTTTCTTACAAAATTGAAAGCATTCAAACTCATAAAGGATATCGTTGTTTTACTGCCCACATATTGTAGTCAATAGTAAAAGATCTTGCAAAGTAAAAACATAAATTATGTGAAAAAAATGAGAAAAAATTACAAAAATTTTAAGATTTCACACTATGCCCTCTTGTAATTAAAATTGTCATATACTCTAACAGATTGTTTTTGGCATAACAAACAAAACAATTTCCATAAGTTTCACAACACAATAGTAAATTACATAGGCATACGATAAAAACTAATTTATATGAACAACATTATTTCAATTTAAATAAGAAATTACAGACTCATGTCAAAGCTTCATTTAACCACTAAATTGATAAATAATTTAAGATAAGAGAAAAAAAAAGTACTTTTGTGAAGCTGATAAAATAGTAGTAATTTAAAAATTTTATAAATGTTCGATTCATATATTTAGAGGACATAGAATTTTATTAAACTTTTTTCAAGTAGAGTCGACAAAAAACTTACATGTAACTGTTACAATACATCTTTATCTTCTTAATCTTTTAATTGTAAAAAAAATTAATTTACAAAACACAGTTCAAAATAACAAGTGTTTTTATAATTAAACAATCTCATACCTGATTATTTTGANTCGAATAAATATATACCAAAAGTGACAGTGCTTATTATTTTTGAAAACCTGGGTCAGGTTTTTTTAAAACATTTTCAGATTGTTAAGGATTAACGACATCTATGAATATACATCTGTATTCCCTTTTTAATCACTTCATTGAAATTGAATTGTAAAATTAGGAGCAGATATTAAAATTTGCATTTTTTTTCATACATTAAAAAAAAAGAGAAAATAAATAAATTTGAAATAAGGAAAGTACTATATGTCGCTACTAGACATGCATCACAAATTCAGCTGTGGGTCAATTTTGGTAAATATTCAGTTATGCCAAAAAGAAAAAATACATTTCTATTAACAAAATGTTTCATTTAAAAGGGTATCCATTAAAAAAATTAACACTAAGAAGTTGAAGTAGAGTTATGCATGAGAGAAGTCCTATTTCAAGTAAAAACGGGTCATACTAATATCTAATCACCCAAAATCCTTCCATTTTTTTACAATTAGGCTTAACTTAATATATATATATCTTTTCAAATTCATTGACATAAAGATTTTTAAGAAAATTTTTATACAAAAAAAAATAAAATTATGTTTAAGATTTATAATTTTTAAATATATATGTTTTTTACTAGTTCTCGGGGGAAACATATAAATGAAAGGGTTTAAAATGATTTTCCAAAGGTATCAACACATTCCTATGACCAGAAAATTGGTAAGGTTACTTAATTAACAAATATTGATAAATTATTTTTTTCATTATCATTTATAGATATTTACTTGTAATATTTCTTTATCATCCACCATCATTCTTAATATTATTCTCTACTATTAGAATCATTTGATATTTTATTTTTATAGCGAATTAATAATTTCGGAAAAAATGTAATCAAAACTTCATAAAAAACATATTGAAAACAGTATGTAACCAGTTTGAAATTATTACTCAACAGCAAATGTGTTATATTTACTTTTATGAGCTTTAGAATTATTTCCAGCCAAAACTGATATTAGGAATTAACTTTACATAATATTGACTGATATTAAGAATACTAAACAATCTGACGAAAAATATACACTAATTTTAAAGCAACCAAAAATTAAATAGAAATTTAAAAAAAAAAGCATATTAAGTTACAATGTTAACTGAGAAAAATGATTATTAAAATCTAAGTTTGAATTTTATTCTAATCGACATTAATATCAAAAAGTTTGGGATCTTTTAATTGAATAGATTTAAATTTCTATGTAACAATCTGCCTATCCTTAAGAAATAAAAACATTAACGTAACAATCTACAACTTTAAAAAAAATTTACATTGCAGCACAAGTTATAAATAGTTACCACATATTTAACTATCTTGTTAGGAGCGAATCATGCATTCTTATTTAGTACTCAGGAATAAATATGTAAAATATTGTGAAAAAACTTGAGGTTTTCACCAAAACCCCAATAAATCTCAGGTTTTTTATGTAAAATCTAGGTGGGATGGGATTTTTCAAATCCTGTTTATTACAGATCTGTTTAATTTTTAGTACTATCATGAGTTTAAAAAATTTTTACTGCTTTTTATTAATTTACAGTTACTTATTACACACTGAAATATTATGCAAATTTATTTAATTCCTCTAAGAATTTTGGAAATAGTTTTTGTTATAGATATTAGTTCAAACTTTTTTCTGATACTTTGATTCTTAGGGTTCTACTTTGTTCCTATGAGCAAATGCATTACCAGTAGAACTGAATTTTTTGAATTCAGTCAATTTTGAAGGTCAGTGTGGGTTTTCCACTTCAGTACCTTAGAACTCTTCCCCCCCCCAAAAAGCACTATCTCTTCCATGTGCAGTATTCCCCTTGTCCACACTCTATTCTTTTCTTTTAGAATGTCGCTCTTCTCATAGAGTATCATTCTAGGCAAAAGGCAGTATATATTAATGAAAGAACCAATGCATTAATAAAAGGACATGCTTTCTTCTCCTTGCCTGTAGCCCTCTCACACACATCCCTTCTTGTCTCTCTAAAATGCTTTACTCTCGGTGCATGGTCTAATTCTAGGTGATAAAAGAATGTCTATATGTTTTAAAACAATGAACTGAAAAATTGTTCTTATCAACTATAGTGATGCTGAAAAATTAAGCACCTTTAAAAACCTTCTACCAAAATTAAGTACTTTTAGGGGCCCTTATTTTCCAAAATATAAGTTAAGCAGTTTTTAAGGACTTTTAAGGACTGTGGGAACCCTGAAAGGATATCGTTGCCTTACTGCCCACATATTGTAACATTTTGAGGACAATAGTAAAAAATCTTGGAAAGCAAAAGCATAAATTATATGAAAAAAATTAGAAAATATTACAAAAATTTTAAGATTTCATACTATGCCCTCTTGTAATTAAAATTGCCATATTTTCTAACAGATTGTTTTTGGTATAACAAACAAAACAATTTCCATAAGTTTCACAACACAATAGTAAATCACATAGGTATGCGATAAAAACTTTTGAATTTATATGAACATCATTTCAATTTAAATAAGAAATTACAGACTCGTGCCAAAGCTTCATTTAACCACTAAAATGATAAATAATTTAAAATAAGAAAAAAAAGTACTTTTGTAAAGCTGATAAAATAGTAGTAATTTATTTAACAGTTTTATAAATGTTCAATTCATATATTTAGAGGACATAAAATTTTATTAAACTTTTTTCAAGTTGAGTCGACAAAAAACTTACATGTAACTTTTACACTACATCTGTTTCTTCTTAATCTTTTAATTGCAAAAAAACTTAATTTACAAAACACTGTTCAAAATAGCAAGTGTTTTTATAATTAAACAATCTCATACCTGATTATTTTGATAGGACTATGAAATGGTCTCTGATCCTGAAGCCACATAATGAAATTTCTCATTCTTTCAGATTCTGGAGTTGGTAACTCTGGTAAAGATATCTAGAAATCACACAAACACAGATTTAATTACCTAACAATACCAATTATCAGCAGTAACAAACTTTAAATGCCTATGTATGCCTAGTGATGAGGGAAAAGAAATTTTCGGGAAACAATATTCAAGAATATTAAAGAAAAATGTTTAAAAAAATCTTCAACAATGCTTTTTTTTTTCTTCCAGAAACTTTCAGGTGTCAAAACGAAAAATTTTTGTACATTTTTTTATAGAATATATTTTAATTTTCGATCATTTCCTTTGACTGCAAACCATTTTAACAAAAACTACAGGTTATCAATCCAACTTTGTAATCCACTGTACTCCCCTTGCTTGAGCAGCACTAGACAACAAGCAACATGAAATTAACTTAACCAATGTTATGAGAGAAATATTCTCATTAAAATACATTTAGCTTTCTTACATACGAGCTAAACCTTTTGGCAAAGAGCATAATAAGTGTGAATTTAATTCAAACAAGATTGTAGAATGTACAGCAATTGACAAACTTTTTAAGAATCACCCAATGTGGGCAATGAAACATTGAAAGCAATCCAGGATGAAAAACAAGGGAAAGAAAGTTCTTTTATTTTGCCGGAAGAGGATAGATGGGATTCAGCAATGGTGTGGTTTTAACATTTTGAATTCCTGTATACAAAAACTGCTTACAATGTATAGAGGGCCAAAAAAAAAGACCACCCTGAATAACTTTTGATCTAGTGGTCGAATCTTCACATTTGAGGACTAAATCTTAATCGCTCGAAAAAGTGCCCTAAAATATGCTAATTAATAAGTGCTGACAATATTTTAAATTATGAAATCATACACTTTCTCTTTTTTTCACAAATTCTGATTTCAGATTACCAAAATATAGGGGGTGGTCGCAATATGGGAAATATGGTCTAAATAGTTTGATCAGGAGAGTGATTCAAAGTTTGGACCCCTTAATATTAATTTTACTTTTTGTGATGTGGATTTAGCCATAGCTCCAGAACTTTTTAAGCGAATTGAAAAAGCTTTGCACACAACTTCAAAATTTGTTTACCCAAAGATAATTTCACGCAAAAAATATATTTTGGTAGATATTTACAGTTTTTTATTTTATTAAATGATACTCAAAAAAATGTTGAACTGAATGGTACAAAAATTTTTACATTATATAAAAGTATGTCATTTTGCAAGGCAAAATAAAAAATTTAAGTGAAATCAGTTGAATAGTTCCTGAAAAATAGAGTTTTAAAGAAGTTGAATATTCACAATGCCATAGAAACTTTGTATATTAGCAAAGCAGTTAGAAAAGTGGTGGCAGAAATAAATATGATCAAAACTGTATTAAACTTAGTTTTTTACATAAATTCAAAACACATTTTTATAGTAATTCAGCTTTTCATTGAAATGAAATAGCATCATTATTAAAAAAATATATTTTTCATTTTTTTGTAGAGAAACATACAGTTATTTTGGTTCATATTTTGAATTCATTTTAGATAATTACAAATCAATTTAGAAAATTTAGATTCAATTTAGTTAGCCAATATGAAATTTTTAATTAAATACTAAGACTTTAGATATGCATAACAGCTATTAAATCATTATTATATTATAACTTAGCTTTTCCATTTACATAATTAAAAAAATTTAAATCACGATTTCTATGCGTTTAATTATAGCCTCTAATGAATGACAGTTTAATTTTACAATGCCTTGTCTTATTTATTTAAAGACTAACAAAATTTTCTGCTTCAAAATTTTCTGCAGTTATTAACTAACAAGTATATTACCACTTTTGTTAAAGATTGTTGTCCCTTAAGGATCAAATATAGACAAACTAAATGATTTAAAAAGATATAAATAAGCTTTTTCAATTTCAATAAAAAAATTATAACAAAACTAATTTTCAATAAAAAAAAAGAATAAACTTGCTTTTACATTTCAAACAACTTACAAAATTGCTTAAAATAATTATAAATACTTATTAAAAACGCTATTAAAATTCAAATAGTACTATTTAAATATGCTTTTTCCCTCATTGTAGAGAAAATGGTTCAGTAAAAAATAATATACTCCAAATAATTTTCGTTTTTGAAAAAAAAAAAGAAATAGGAAAAGAAATTTATTTAAATTTTAAAGGACCTACAAACTAATGCCAGACTCAAAACCAATGCAGCCCAACAAGCCCAGGTCATGTAAAAGCATTTCTTTTTTTTTTAACTATTTGACCTACATGCTCAAACTACAAAAAAAAAATTGCCAAAGGGTAATAAAAAAATTAATTATGTTTATTGTTGTCGTTGATTTACGTCGCACTAGAGCTGCACAACGGGCTATTTGCGACGGTCTGGGAAACATCCCGGAGGATGATCCGAAGACATGCCATCACAATTTTGATCCTCTGCGGAGGGGATGGCACCCCTGCTTCGGTAGCCCGACGACCTGCGCGTGAAGTCGAGCACTTTACGGTAGCACAGTTTAACGAGGACCAATACCTCACACCCTCGGTCCCTACGCAGACTGATCCAAGTGGTCACCCACCCGCACACTGATGCTTGACTTCGGTGATCTGCTGGGACTGTCTTAACGATCAGTCCACTGCGGGACTAAATTATGTTTAAGAAGACATAAATTTTATTTATGAGAGTACATTCACTTTACATCTGTTTCAAATCTTTAATAATATTTACAAATATCAGAACTCATTTTTTTAAATATAAAGCTTGTTTAAAACATTCCTACTCTGGTTTGTTACAACTGTTTTTGTTCCTATTTAATACTCATATCTTTTATTTTGTTATAAAAAAGAATGTTTTTTGTAAATGTCCAGTTCATTTAAACTTAAAAGTTCTGATATAGATGTTAACTTTATCTTGTTACAATGTCATGTTTTCAATAAATTAATATTAAGTACATTAAAAAGTTTTTGTTTACATGCATTCAAAAAGATGTTTCTCAAAGGCATTATTGAGACTTATATTGTATAAATAAACATGCCTAGCAGGGTATGTAAAGTTTCTGAGGCTTTTCCAGCCTTGAAGAAGATACATTTTGAGTTACCATTAATTAGTTTGTAAAGTGTGCAAAATCTTAACATTCTACTTACCATATCTTCTGGAATGGCACTAAAGTTAGATACATTAAGCACAGAAGTGCAAAACTGGTCATTGATTGCTCGACCAATATATAAATATAAGACATCTAATGTGTCAAGTATGTAAGCTCCATGACGATCAATTTTTTCACTAGATAATTGCAGAATAGGGGGTTGTGGAATTATGGCATCATCATCTTGGTGAATAGCATTCTAAATTTAAAAAAAAAAAAAGCATTTTTACTGATATATAATTGAGATAATACACTATAGTTATACAAAAAGGAACCAAATTCTTAATTCAAACACCAGTCATTAAAAATTAGAATAGCACCAAATGTGTTAAAATACTTAGGCTAACATATTTTAGTATGTAATAAAAGATAAATTAACTTCAATATTTAAAAAAGTGAGATTCTATTACTAAAGAAAAAACATTTTAACTAACGTAACATATTTTGCTAAATACATAATATAAGCATTAATGATTACTAAACATTAATGAATCTATTACAAAACATAGCACTTAGATACTTGACATATTTTTTTACTTATAAGATAATAAAAGGTGACCAAAAATGATTAACTTCATTTTGTAAAAACTAGTTTTTTATAACTAGAAACAGTTTTTTGTCGAACTTTCCTGTTGAAAACCAACGATTTTATAACTTAAATAATAGCAAACTTCCTCAAGAAATAATAGTTTTGCAATAGAAAACTTAGGCTGAAAAGAAAGAGAAAAACTGATTTAGTGATGAAATTAAACAAATATTTATTGCACCCTAAAATTAGTATTAGGCATGAAACTAAAATTTTACTTCTTGAAGCTAAAGTGCAAGGTAAAGATTTATTTAAAATTTATTGAAAAGAAATTAAGACTGAAAATAGCTCTAAAAAAGTTTATTTCATAAAAATCAACATACCTTATCATCTAAAGCGTGTACAGGATATAAAGTAGGATAAATGTATTTCATTAAATAAACTAAGGGTAAAGTTTTCATACGATCCATAGCATAAACTCTTTCATCTAATTTAGTGCTAACACCAGTCCTAAAGGCCACCTGAAAAAATTACATATTTAAATACTGAAAAGAAAGGCAATACTTTGTACATTGTAATAATAATTTAAAAATAAAAAGAATGTACTCACATGTTTCAATAAAGCTAAAATGAACATAGGTATCAAACGAGTTGAAAATGGTGACATAAGAGCACCTGCTACATTTCCTGACATGGTTGACTTAAAAACTCCTAACACATCCAAACAGACATTGATAAGAGCATCTCTAGCATCGGTAAGAGACGCAGTAACGCTTCGATCAACAGCTAAAAGAAATTGAACTTATAAATATTCAGAAGAAGGCCTGAAAATAATCACCTACCACGTAGTGAGTCAACAAAAAAAGGAGGCAATATAAATTAAATAAACAACCAGTCACATTCTCCCATCTTTTTTTAAAAAATCGCTTAATTATTAAAGTGCAGAAAGATACTCTGAATAACAGAATTTTCAGTAAGATGTGTAATGTTTCCATTCAAAATTTTGATCCCTCAAAATCCATCAATTAGTGGTGGAAAATTCCTCAACGATTCACATATTTTAAAGTTGTAATGTATACATTACATTTATTTTACCATCCCAAATATTTTTAAATAAGTTCTTTAAAGCTAATATGAACATTTTGTAGCAGTTATATTAGTTCTATTGCTGAAGTATCTTTTTATAGACATAAATTGTTTCCAATATGAATTTTTTTTAAAAAATATAATTTTATACAAACAAAAAGAATAAGTTTGAAAAATGTGGTGATTAAATGAAAAAGACCTATCGATATCAGCCACAGACTCTTTAGGTTTGACAAAAAAGTGGTTACTAACTAAAAATTTAAATTTTTAGGTCTATTCTGAAGTATCATAAGAATATTTAAAAAAATTTCCAAAATTGGATTTATTTGGATACAGCAAAACAAAATTAAATTTATTGTATTATAACTGTTTTCCTAAAGAAAAACCCTTAAGGAGAGTAAAACACATATATAACATAGATTATAGTAGAGAAATTAGCAATTTTCTTTCCTAAACCAAAATTTGTGTAACATGTATTAACATAACGTCCGTGCACTTAACTTTAAATAGAACAAGTGGACTATTTGAAATCTTTCTTAAGTCACTTCTCAGGTTAATTTATCATAAGGTTAACTTAATGACTTATTAAGTTACTTCAACCTTACAAATCATTATAACATTAAAGTACTTTAAATGAAACAATTAGACTATTTAAAATCTTTACAGGGTATCTGCCACATTTTAGGTTTTCAAATTCATGACTTTCCATGACTAATTCCAAGAATTTTTCATGACTTAACGACGCTACTATTTTCTCCGGAAAAAAAAAACACAGCAATAAATTTAAAAAAGCATTTTAATAATATTAATTGAAATTATATGTATAACCAAAACTGTTAAACACTGCATCTTCATATTTATAGATTTTAAATTTAAAAAACAAGAGTAATGAAAAGAGTTAAAGCTATAAAATAGCTGAACAAATACAGAAGCAAATAATTTCTTCTTCTTTTTTTTCTGCAGAATTATATTCTAAAGATACTTTTCTTGTTTATCGAAAAGGAAGAAATACTCCTGATTTTTCTTTTCTCATTTCGGAATTAAAAAATTCAATTATGACTAGCTTGCTTCAGTTAGAAAATTTTAAATTAATAAAATAAAAAAAATAAAAAATAACAAAAATTCTGAAATCACAGAAGTTTAAATGATAATTTGCTCTAGAAATTATGTTTTTCTTTCATTTTTTGAAAGAACATAATTTTTAAAGAACTTGATAAAAACATTTCATATTTTAATCAATTATGACTGTGAATGGGGATTTTGTTACAAATTCAGATATTCAGAACACCATGAAATTGGGTGGGTGGGTGTAAATTCCATTTTAAAATGGGGGGGGGGTAGGTAATACCCTTTTCGACCATGACTTTCCTTGATTTCCTTTTAAAAAATAGTTAAAACCATGACATTTACCTATCATAGAATAATATAAGGATAACATTATAATATAAGTTAAAATAATTGTAATAATTATAAGAATAATTAACTTGGAAACAGATAATTTTAAGTTCTAAGTATAATAAATAATACTACACTCGATGCAAAATAATTATGAGCACAAAATACAATTTAAATGCAAAAGATTAACTTTATAGACATTTATAATGTAATTCCAGAAAACTAATCAAAAGATGAATTATTGGTATAATACTGGCAGTGATCATTAATCAGATAGAGCAAGGTGTACTTTTCATAATCTTTCAAAAATCTAAATCTGCACTAAAACTTAAATTCTAAATATTACAAAAAAATAACATTTAAGACTAAAATAATTGCCACGCTTTTCAACAGCTGCTTATCTTTCTGGCAATCGAAACACAAAATAAGACATGAAGTAAATATTTATAAAATAACTTTTTACATTTGTACACTCCTGAAAAGAAAGAGTCAAATTTTGATCAAAGGCACCAACACATTTACTTTGTTTTGCTGAAAGCGGTTATTTGAGTAGTTTTAACCAAAAGAAAATTAAACAGAAGAAAATTTACTAATTTGGTGAAATTATATAAGACCTTTATTATAGAAAATTATAGCATATATCCTATAATTAAGAAAGAAAATTAAAAAATATCCACCTGTGTTCAAATTGACCCTACTTTAGTATTACAATGATACGGTTAGGTGATAGTTCAAATTAACTGTAGAGAGGAAAAAACACACTAAAAGTTATGTAGTTTTCAATAAAATACAGCAACCATCTCTTTTACTAAAAAAACACAATTTCACTCAAAGCAATTTTATTTTATCGATAACTAATAAATTACGAAATATAAAACAGATTGCTAAAAATTAAACACAGTATAGTATTTTTACCTACCCATTTTGGATACTAAGCCAATAACGGTTTCTTGATCAGCTCCTCCCAATACATCATGAAGCAGCGAAACCACAGGTAAACACAAAGTATGAACTCTAATTCTCCTTTCACCTACTCAAAGAATAATAAGTGTAATAAAATAAATGTAATTTTATGCTGGATTTACTACGCTCATTTTTAAAAGGAGAGAAAAATAAGATAAATCATAAAAATCAAGCTGTTAATATTAAAATAATAGTTTACCTTTACTAGATGTGTAAAGAACTGCAGCTTGAAAACAAACTGTATTGTATTCATTTAAATTCTCTTCAATGGCGATTTGCATACCATACCCTGAATCAGGATTAACATTTGGCAGAGACAAGAGATCTGTTGATCTTACAAAGAAATTACCATGGAAAGTGTGAATAGCTAAACCTGTAAAAGAAGAATGATAATGCTAAAATGTCTCACACATTTTTTGTCTTCTCTTAAATAATTTTTTTTCTTCTAAAGAAGATAAATAAAATGTAGGCTATAAACATTAGTTCATTTAGTATTGAAAAAGAAATTAAAATAATGCAGTTTCTAAAATTAAATAAATTTATTTCATAATTGTTTAGTTTTACAAATTGGGACTAACCTATTAAAAAGATGATTGAAATTGACAAATAAGTAACTAATATAATAACTTCAAATTATGAATTTCATAATAATTTTGGCCATACTAATAATGAAACAGGGTGGCCACAAACACTCAGGAAAAAAAAAAAAAAAAAAAATTCAACTATTTCATGATTTTATTTTATTTACCTGATGTTTTGCAACTTGTGGCATAACAAATTTTATTGTAAATCTTTCAATTATGTCTTATTTTTCTAAATAAATTATATTGCAAAACACTTATAGGTGGCATTACAGTTGAAAATAATCAAATCTTAAATTTGCAAAAGAAGTGATCGGATAATCAATAGGTCGGATATTAGAATTTGAAAATTTTTTAATTTATCTTGGATCAATAGAAAGCAAGTAGATAACAAAGATTTAATTAAATAACTATAAAAAAATCATACTAATAATACTAATATGAAAGAATTAAAGAGCGAAATTCACCACAGAAACTCTAGTTTGATTGACAAAACTAATATTATTACAAATATTAATTAGTGACTGATTTGCAAATAAGGCACATTCTAAAAACTAAAAAACCAGTATCATTATTAATCTATGGATTTTAAGGTCTTGATAATTTTTTTGTGCATACAGTGAAACCTCAGTTAAGTGCACTCTTAGGACCGAAAAAAATGTCTGTTTACAGGAAGGATACCCTTATAACAAAGTTTAGCACTGTAAATTGTTTTTAGAACATGATATAGAAATAATTAAATAATCTACAATAACTATCAACAAGGAAAATTATTTAAATTTTAAAAAATGTTTTTTTCTATACAAAAAGAATTTAAGAAAAAGTTTGATATAAATACATTATTCTAGAGGTAGCTACAAATAAATTAATATAATTTTCCTATAAACACAGATATTCAAGTAAGTCATATGATACCAAACAGGAACTTTTAGTCAGTTGGTTTCAATTATAAGGTTCACACCCCCTAACACCTACCCATCACTTGATAGGAATACCTCCTTGAAAGTAAACCTCCCACGATTCACAGATAACAAAAGAAATCAATGCCTATGGAGTTGTTATATTCACAATTAATCATTTATCAAGTGTCTGAATAAATGTTTCATTTATATGAACACCTCAAAGATATTTATCTTTTTTTACCCCAACAATGTTAAATACAGTCTTCAAATTTATAAGAAAATGAAAGAAATTTTCAGTTGAGAAAAAGCATTGAGAGCAATTAAGGTGTCATTTCAGCTTGTGGGGTCTCATAATCTGTGTCATCCAGATAAAAAGATCAAAAGATGCTGCTGTCGGAATGCACAGTATCATTTTCCCTCCTTTCTTTGCAAAGATAAGGAAAAGTAAAATATTGATTCTTTAGTAGTGAAATAGTTTAACAATATTTAGAGTTATGGTGAAAAGTTGCATTTTTCCCCCTTGCAATTTAAAGGTTGGGTTTTTTTCTTACTTAAAAAAAAAAGTGCCCAGTTTGAAGAGATAAAAAATATTATTTCAGGGAAAAGATGACTGTCTGCGTCTGGTTATGGGACTGTCCGCTTAGCGGAGAACGTGTACAATGGTTTATTGATAGAAGATTCATTGGGAATTAAAAATATGTCCGTATTTAGAGGTGTCAGTTTCGCAGGAGTGTTCAGAACAGGTTTCCCTGTATATATACAATTTGAAAAAAGACATATTAGAAAATTTTTAGTAAAGTGCTTATTCAGGGTTCCCACTCTATGATGAGATTGAAATTCAAGGACTTTCCAAGGACCTCAACAAAATTTTCAAGGACCTTAATCTAAGACCAATTTCAAAAATTATTCTCTTCTATTTTACTAGAAGCAACAATGTGGCAATAATTAATTTCAAATATAATACCTAAATGCTTTGCCTATATAGAGAGAAGANCAAATTCAAGGACCTATCAAGTTTTTCAAGGACCTAAGACGTTTTTCAAGCACCTTCAAGGACCTAAATTTAGCAAAAAAAAATTCAAGGACTTTCAAGGACTCTCAAGGACCGTGGGAACCCTGTTATTAAAGAAAAAAGACAATCAAAGTGAATGGGAGCATTTGGCTATAAACGTTTCAGATAATGGAGGTTCTAATGTAATATATAACTTTAATAACATTACCTCTAGTACATCTAATACGCATCACAGCTTCAAATCCAATTCTACGAGTCAAATATCTCTTTAAATCACCATAAAATCTTTCCACTTGCAATTTACCTAGTTGATGATGATACCCTGGATAATATTGAATACAACCTGAAGAGAATTTTGAGATGCAACCTGTAAAATAATACAAATATGTTTTTATTTTTTTATATATATTTAGTTGATACAAATATATTATGTTTATTTCATTTGATGCACTATTTTTTCACTCGAGTGCTATCTATAAAATTATAATGCAATACTGATCAAGCAATTTTCATTTTAATAAATAGGTATTAAAAGAAAGTAACATTAGAGAAAGTTTCTTTATATCCAATCCAAATGCATATTCAGGGTTGCCACAGAAAAAAATGAACAAAATAGTTGCTTTTAGTAGCCTAAAGCATGAAAATAGTAGCCAANTTTCACTCGAGTGCTATCTATAAAATTATAATGCAATACTGATCAAGCAATTTTCATTTTAATAAATAGGTATTAAAAGAAAGTAACATTAGAGAAAGTTTCTTTATATCCAATCCAAATGCATATTTTTACTATTTAAAAACTACAAAACCTACATAAATGAGCTCATTTTAACACTTTCAAATTCAGTTTTGGTAGAAAAATTCCACAAATTTTATTTAAACAAATCTTTTTGATTTTTGAAAAAAAATAAAAAAAAGAACATAGTTTTTTTAAACTAAAAAGCAGTCTAATATTATACACATTGTAATAAAATTAAATTGTTTACCAGAGTACGTCATATTTTACGTATCTTACTTTTTTACAATTGTTTCACTTATTTATCTGCATTTTAAATCTTCTATCTCCCCTTAAATAATAAAAAATAGAGCTACAATGCTAAAGAAATGAGAGTAAAAGGGGAGCAGTCCCACAATATCTGCAGAAATGTGTGAAATATTCACCATACTGTGGTTAATATGGATTATATTTTATGAAATATATTACTTATTCCTAAAATTAACCTCACCTTACCTTAATTGTATTCAACATTATAAGATTATTAAAAAGTGATAAACATAAGGAGAGCCCCACCCAAAAACAAATGGGTGATAGGGGAAAGTGGACGTAAGATTTAAATTTAGGAGGTCATTTTATATAAAAATCAACAACTCCATTTATTAACTTTTTTTTTTGTTGCTAAAAATAAATAAAAGAAAGACAAAAATGGTTAGAAGGTATCTACAATGAAATTCTTAAAAATGTATAAAAAAAATTTTTAAATATTGTTTTGATTTTAGAATGACTTAACATAATTTTGCTGACTTTATTCAGACAGTTGGTGTTGCTTGAACTGATTATATGTAACTAATATCACTAAATAATACAATTGGCAAATCAAAAAAAAAAAAAAAAAAAAAAAAAAAAAAAAAAAAAAAAAAAAANAAAAAAAAAAAAAAAAAAAAGAAAGAAAGAAATTATTTTGCACGCTAATTTAATAAAAAATAGTTAAAGAAATTGTGTATTAGCTACTTCATTATTTAATAACAAACCTTAAAAATCAACTGGAAGTAAATTTTACACAGATAGTGTATGTTTCGTTTTACAATAAAATAAGTTCTTAATTTAGAAATTAAAATAACTCACTAATTGTGGCAATATCTATATATTGTGAGCAAAGCATAAACAAATCAACAGCTATTTGCTGACCAGAACAGTCTAGTGCAAGCTTTTTGTAGAAATCATTAGCTGGTCCAATGTTTGAAACATCCTGTGTGCAAAAAGAACAGAAACATAAAATAAATACATAAATATGATTATTTCATGTCATTTATTTAAAGGGAAGAAAATTCTAATAACAGAACATACAAATTGCTAACTATTATAAGATAAATTACAATAAATTAAATGTTATACCTTTGCGGCTCTTTGATTTGGATCTTCACGGTTTTTTAAGGCTCCTGGACCATAATTAGGTAAACTGCTTTGAAAAACTGTTACTCGACCACCTATTGGAGACTAAAGAAATAAACACAATTTGAATGCATCCTATTTATGGGGAAAATAATATATTTTAATGTTAGCAATTTAAAAATTTTATTTTTACCATCAGCTTGTAAGCAACTTGAAGAGCAGCACCAAGACAGCTGTTAACATCCCCATTAGATGCAAATCTTTTTGGTAGATCAGTAAGCAATTCTGTAATCAACTACAAAATAAAAATATTACTTATTAACCATTAAAAATTTGTTATAAGTCTCATTAAAAAGGAAAATCTCTGCAAATATTTGAAAAAAAATATTTCTTTCATTTTTATATAATTTTATTGTCTACACTGTTTATTATCCTAAAAGTTTAAGTTGAAACTCAAATTGAGGAAATCATACTTTTTTCATTCACAAGGATAGGAAAGATATGAGCTTTTTGCAAACTCAAAATTAAGTTTTTTCAAAACAGCATTTTTTTAACGCTTAAGACAAAACTCTCAAGTTTAATCCAATTCACTAAAAAATTATGTACGTGAAATAGAAATATTGCACAAAAGACCCTTTTTAGTGAACTTATAATTTTTGCTTCATTACAATTAAATATGTGATCCATAAATACTATATTATTATAACCTTCATAAAGTTATCGAAATATTTATAAAAGGAATTTTCAAGTTACTTGAAGGGAAAAAATACATAACACCTTAAGTTAATTATCATTCAATAAACAAAACAAAAAAAAAAGAACTTAACACTTTTTAACACTTTAATGCAGCACTACTTGATTTGAATACTAAATCTGCAGAATAGGCAAACAAGTATTAACTACAGATTTAAATACTAATAACTTTATCATAGTTTAATTACATGAAGCAATTTAAAAATAATAGAGTAGAGAATATTTCTAATAATTTACTGTCAGGATTGCAACATTTCGAAAATCACAAAACTGAATTTTTTTTATGAATTTGTTGAATATGACCAAACAGCAGTGGCTAAAACATTTATTAAGAATCATATTTATAAATTAATATACTGGATTTACTAAGGTATGTTTTTCGACCGAGAAAAAAAGAAACCTTAAATAATATTACAAATAAAAGTTAGTGATTGACACTTTGATTAGCTATTTCTTAATTTATTGAACTCTTAATTAGCTTTACTTCTTATAAAAAGCCAAAATGAAGAACTGTAATTTTTCTAAAATTCAAAAGTATTAAATACTAATTACAATGTTTTTAATTAAAAATAAGTTACTGCCAATCAATATTTTTAAATAAATTTGTTAACACTTCCCTCAAGTCCACTATTTTAAAAATTCTGGTTTTCTTTTTTTTTTTTCTTTCTTTTCTTGTTTTGCTTGTTAATTGTATTAATTCACCTTACTGACAAATTTCTATCACAGTTTTTTCCCCTTGCATAAATACTCAGGAGTTCGCAAGACTTTTAGACAATGATTCAGGTAGAACAGTTACCTAAATCACTTAACATTTTGAGGACTATTTCCAATCAGCATACTAAATTTACGCAATTTGTTGGTTTACTTTTAAATAAATAGCAGAGGCCCATGACAAGTGTTACTTATCGTTACTTAATAATTTCAATGAAATAGGGATTTTAGATTAAATTGCGTAAATTTTACAACTGTCCAAAATTAAAAAACTTAGCAAAAAAAAAAATTTTTTAATATATTTTAGTGGGCAGTATAATGCACCTTGTTTAATTGCCGCTTGTTTTACTTACAGTCCATGGTCAGCACAATCATACTACTTAAGGGTTTACACATCCACAAATGTCAAAATATTTTTAAGCTACAAAATTAACCACTGAATTAACTTAAATACAGGGATGAGATTGGCCAAAAGGCAAAAAAGCTGAATTTCCATGTGAGTAAATTTTACGCGTGTGCAATCGTTTAATAATAAATTCCTGACAATTTAAGATAACAAACAAAAATTGCTATTTTAGTTTGAAAAAATTACATGATAATCAGCAACTGTTTAGATAATTATTTTTCATATGATAAGAATTTCGCATTTTATATCATAAATAACAGCAGCATTATTTCTTAAATTTCAGTGCTGAGTTAACTCTTTTTCCACAAAAAATTTAATAATTTTTTAAGTGATTGCTTTAGTTTGCTATAGCTTTTTTCTTTTTTTTTGTTGCTTAATTTGCTGCAAACGCTTTATGTTTCACAAATCAAGCAAAAAATCCTTTAACAAGGTCAAATTTCTCGTAATGCAGCTTGTGAATGAGGAGAAATAGATTGGTGATTAATTTAGTCGTTAGCCCATCTTCAAACATCTTTTCACAAATCCTATTTTCTCTTTCTTTACCTGCCTTTGTCACATTCTTCTTTGCAAGCACAGAATGTAAGTTTTGAATATGTCTATATACTAATAATTGCTGATAGAAAAACAGTCACATTTATAGTAACTAATTTTTAAAAAACCTACTTCTTACAAGAATCGCGATAATCAATTTTAAACCTGTGGGAATATGAATCGTTACATAGGTTTTTAATAACGCGTAAATACAAATAGTGATATTGGTTTTTAAATCTCGTAAATAAGAATTATATTGAAGTATATTCAAATCGAGTGNGTTTTTTTCCACTTGCTTGTAACCCCTACCCTCACACACATTCAAAATATTCTACCTTCAATGCAGGGTCTCATTCTAGGCGAAAGACGTACTTTTTAATTGCGGATATTTTCCTAAGATAAAAAAATTGTTCCAACCAACTAGTGATACTAGAAATTAAGGACTTTTAAGCACCGTGAATCAAAATTAAGTACTTTTAAGGGCCCTTAATTTTCAAAATAAAAACTAAGCAGTTTTTAAGGACTTTTAAGGACCGTGGGAACCCTGTTACAAGAATCACGATAATCAATTTTAAACCTGTGGGAATATGAATCGTTACATAGGTTTTTAATAACGCGTAAATACAAATAGTGATATTGGTTTTTAAATCTCGTAAATAAGAATTATATTGAAGTATATTCAAATCGAGTGAATAAGAATCGAAATGTTAGCAAATTCCCGGCTTGAGACTTTTAAAAAGCTTGTTTGAAGAAGTGACGTTTGAGTTACGAAAATACGAACTATCTGGCGGGTGGGTAAAAATGAGGAAAATCGTATATTCTGTGCGCAAAAGCGGCAAAAATAGCTAAAATGTAAAAATGTGGAAGAATTGACAGATATGAAGGTTGAATTTTCTGTTTATCTTTGAAAATCGAAAATAATTATAATCCTTTTACTTCAACGGCTAAATTTTTCGAAAAAGCAAAATATTTAAACAAAATTTTTTTTTTTAAAAATTGAAACTTTTAGATAATTGGGGTTCTTGATAAAAAGGCTGATATTCGAGACACAAAAGTAAAAAAAGCGGAAATCCGCTAAAAAGCGGAAAAATCTCATTCCTGTAAATACTTATTACAAAATAGATCCATACAAATACTTACAGATTTACTTTCATTCAGAGTGACTAATAAATTGTCTGGAGATGGAAGGAACACATCTAAAAAATAAAAAAAAAACAGTGAATAAAGCAGAGAAAATACATGTCCTGCAAATAAAATTTAAATATAAAATCTCATCGCATATATGTCAACTTTCTTTTTTAGGTAGAAAAAAATTCCATACCAAAATAAATTCAATTATATGCAATAATCTTTCTCTTAGAATATTTTACATACATTTATATTACATATCTGCAACCGCACTGTCAAAAATACATCAAATATTAATATAAAAGTAGCTTCTTTAAATAGTGTAAGATTGTTTAGTTTAGTTCAGTTGTACAGCGTCTTCCGCCTATTGCAATCACATCTTCTCTGAGAGCATTTGCTTTTATACAGCAGCTGATTTTATAAACTAGAATATCTATATTTAAGGGGAAAAAATCTAATTTAAACTTTACAAATACACTTAAATCTAAATTGATTACTAAATTTATATTTTTACTTAATCTACATTTGACATTTTAAACATTTGTAACATTTCTAAATTTACAGAAAGGTTTTTAAATATTAGCATATTTGCACATTGAGCAGAATTTAAATTATTAAGATTCACCATTGATTTGAAATTTTTTAAGTCTTTGAAGTTTTTAATATTTCCTTTTTTTGGCTCATTACAAATATTTAGGACTGATTCTGAGACCAACTTAAGAATCTAGAAAATTTCTTGAGTAAAATCATTAATGACGCATTTCAAAAAATTAATGTCTTTATAAATTTCAGTCATTGATATTTTCAAAACACGAAATTCTAGATAAATTATATGTAGTATAATTTAAATGAATAGGTATGTATAAGTTTACTTTTATCTCTAATCACATTTCTTATTCTACCAGAAAAAATATTTACAAATGAAAAGTATTAGAAAAAATAAATAGCTTATAAAATATGTAATGAAAAATAGCTTTAATATTTCTAAATGAAATATGCAAGAATTTTATCACATAAATGTAATCGATGATTTTTTAAAACTTCTGGACTTTGGATTTCTGGAAACTTCTGAATTGCAAAACATTAGCAAAAAAAAAGGAAATCTGGCAGCACAATCATGTCTGAATATTACATATTAATATTTTAGCTTGCAAGAACTTTTCAGTATAAAATATTAACAGAATAAATAGACTAAATTATAACAGCAGTAAAAAAAAATTTATATCATTTGTTACATAAGGAATTCTAATTTTTCATATTTAACTTATTTTTACCAAATTTCTTTTACACTTTACAGTTTCTATTAACTTTTTGCAATACAATTAGACTGATAAAATTAAGTTTAAAGTTGCTAAAGATATAAATATGCTTTACAGTCACCTTGAAAATAGGTAACTTATAAAATCTGCTTTATAAAAAAATATTTAAAATAAAGAAAATATTTCAAATGAATCGCATGTGTTACTGAACTATGATTATAATATTGATCAGAAATTTTAAAAAATTTAATTTATGCTCATTTAACATTTTTCTTTAAAATTTTGTAGGAGAAAATAATATATCAAATAAAAAAAATGCATGTACAGTAGAGTCTCGAAAGTTCGAGTCTCAGAAGTCCGAGGTTCCGCTTAATTCAAGGTGCCAAATTTTCCCCCTAACAAAAAAAAGCGTAGCAAAGGTACTCCTATAAGTAGCCCTATTCTTTAGGAAAAAGCTGTGTTTTTCAGAAATCAGTTCAAAGAAGAAGAAGATTTCGCAGCAAGCGTTGGTTGGTTAGACCGTTGGAAAAAACGATATGGTGTACGTCAATTAAATATTTGCTGTGAAATACTCAGGGATGAGATTAGCCAAAAGGCAAAAAAGCGGAATTTCCACGATAGTAAATTTTACGCCAGCGCAACCCTTTAATAATAAATTCCAAACAGTTTAAGGTAATAAATAATGTGTTGACATACAATTTTGTACTAATCTATTATTATATAAATGATTACATTGATACTTAACATGTAGTGAAAATAAAAATTACCAATTGAAAAAATAAAGCTGGAAATTATATTTTTCCTCAGTTCACATAAGAGACAATTATTACTTGAAAAACTACCTGGATTAGCAAATTAAAACGACTGAGAATATAAATATTTCAATTTTGCACTTTATAGCATAACAGCAATTATAAATAAAATTTTGATGATGAGTTAATTAACTCTTTTTCCAAAAAAAAGAAGAAAAAATTAAATTACCGTATTTTTCGGCGGAAGCGCCGCGGCGCTTTCGAAAAAAAAGTTGTTTTTTTCCTACATGCGGCGCTTCCGATGCAGCGGCGCTTCCGATGAAATATTTTTTAGTAGCAAAAAAATTTTTCAAGGAAAGTTATTTAAGATGAAATAATTTTCTGAGAGAAAGACTATTAAAAAAAAAATTAATAACGAAGTCGACGAAATATTCGCCCGTATCGCGATCTGCTGCAGAACATCGGCAATTGTAATTTGAGCGAACAGAAAAGGAAGTAATAGGACCCTAAATCCGACACTCACGGGACTGACGAAATGCCGATTTTTGGATCTCTTTCGGAAATTCCAATATGGGCCCCTAATATTACTATAATTCAATTCCATTGTTAATTTCAGAAAAACCGATAAATTTAGTCAAGTTTCGATCGTAGATTATGATGGGGTGAATTTAAAACTGGCCCATCTNAACTGAAGCCACCCCTGCAGATGTTTTGCTTTTGAAGCATTGGCTGACTATCGCATCAACAAAGAGAAGTAATATAATGAAGCAACAAAAAATTGACAATTTTTTTAAATTGTAAAGAATCTTTTACGTCATTATACTAAAGAATAAAGGATTTTAAGGTAATATGTTCATTTTATTTAATTTCATTTGTAGTTGTTAAAAATTTTCTACTTTTTCGGAAAATCCGAGTTTTCAGTAATCCGAGATAGTGTCAGCCCCTATTACCTCGGATTTTCGAGACTCTACTGTATATACTAATTTCCAGATTGGATAAATTATAAAATTGTTCTTAAAGTTTTTTTAAAAATTCTTTTAAAAAAAAGTCAAGATTATGTTTAAAAAAAATAAATCAATTTATGTCAATAAAAAAAAGTACGAATTTTAATTGTATATAGTTACATACTATTAAGATATCAAACAGTTATTGATCAAATAAACTTAGATTTTTTAGTTATAGCCATTCATATTTAATTTTTTTTTTTTCAATTGAAGTGGTAAGTGCAAAAGATCATCTTTATCAGCCAAACTGTAGACAAGCTATAGATTTCGCACTTCATTTATTTACTTTTCATACAAATGATAATTGATTAAAGAGATTTTCTTCTGCAAAGTAATAGTAATAAATATCTAATATATCTGTATAATTGCAATTTTGCATCAGGAAGACAAGACAGTTGAAGAAAATAAGTGTAGCATAATTATATATGCTTCTCTAACATAGTTAGAGATAACAGTTTGCTAAAGTAACAGGATGTCTAAAAAACTCAATAAGTACTCTACTCTTGTAACTTAAAACGACTCTAGATACAGGAACTCTAATCAACAGATACATAATTGATAAATACATAAAACATGTTACCTTCAACATCAGAAACTACTAGCATGTGAGGTTGGTTTAATCCTTCTCCTAAATTATAGAAGTGAATACTGCCATCAAATGTAATAAAACCAACTTTAGTTCTAGAATCACCAGGCAATTCATCTAAATTCTCTAGTAGCACTTTACAGAATGTTTGAAGGTACCCTTTAAAAAAAATGCTACAGTAAATTTCTTTCCTTCAAAATAGTTAAAATAAATATGTTGCAAAACAGTTAATATAATATATAATAAATATACATGAAAAAGATACTAAGTGAAATTTCATTAAAATATTAATACCATACCTGCCAACTTTTAATCCTTTCGAGGATGATATAACTCAGTGGTAGTAAAATTGAATTTAAATTACAATTCTAGGCAGAAATATACGATGTTTTTAGGAAAAGTTACGCGGACTTTAGGGACAGTAGTACATATTTCTATATAAGCTTAACTTTTTTAAAACTAGTGGTGGTCAAAAAGATTATAAATTAAGTTTATAAATGCAAGAAATATATTGAAAACATAAATTTTACTACCACTTGAAATATAAAAATAAAATTTTACGCCAAATGCGTAAAAGTTGGCAGGTATGTAATACAGTAAAACCCCGGTTATCCGAGCCCCGATTATCCGAGTCTCCACTTTAACCGAGCTATCAAATATCTCTTCGATTTTTGTTTTTGTTTCTATATTTTCTATTTTTCTGAACTACCGAAAAAAATTCTGAACTTGATCTCACAAACACTGAGGAAAACAAAATCCATCAGCACTACTCCGCTTACTTTGAATTGTATCACGCACCGCTCCACCCCTCCCCTTCTTTTGAAAAAAGAATATTGCGACACTCAGTTTCAGGGTTCAAAAAGAGAAGCATGAAACGAAAGAGAGCATGCTGAATTGCTTTCGTTGTCTAGTCATATGACCCATCCTCCCTTACTACCAAATGGTTTCGACTGCTCACATGATTCCCTCCCTGGAATCGGGAAATTGTTTTGCAGGAAAAAGTACAGCGGTTACATTCAGTCAATTCTACAGATTCGAAATGAGTAGCAATAAGAGAAAGCGAGTTGTTGTTTCTATAGAAACAAAATTAGAAGCAATTCAAAGATTAGATAAAGGTGAATCAATAAAGAAAGTAGCGAGAGATCTCGGAGTCGGAGCTGTTACTGTTGGCGACTGGAAAAGAAAGAGAAATGAAATAGAAATATGGAGTGCAGAAAAGGCTAATTGCAGTTTACGAAAAACAATGAAAAAGTGTGAATTCGAAAAAACATCCGAATCATTATTCCTATGGTTCACACATTTGAGAGAAAAGGGAAGTCCAATATCAGGGCCTATGCTACAAGCAAAAGCATTGGACTTTAATAAACTTTTCTATGCTGGAGAAGATTTCAGTGCTAGTAGTGGATGGTTGGATCGTTGGAAAAAGAGATATGGAATTCGTCAATTAAATATATCGGGAGAAAAATTATCAGCTGACTGTGAGGAGGTGATTAAATTCAAAGACAGTTTTAAAAATTTTCAATTGCGATAAAAAACAGTTTTTCAATTGCCAGTTCAACAGTTTTTCAACAGGGACAGTTTTTCAATTGCGATAAAAAAGGATTTAACTTTAGAATGTTGCCTTCAAAAACTCTTGCGGCTAAGAATGAAAGGTCAGCTCCAGGGTATAAGATAAGTAAAGAAAGGGTAACAATTTTAGCATGTTCGAATGCATCTGGAAACCTAAAACTGAGAACAATGTTGATTGGCAAGTCGAAAAAACCTAGAGCATTTAAGAACGTTCATATTCCAAGTTTACCAGTGTATTACAAAAATCAAAAAAGTTCTTGGATGGATGCGGATTTGTTCAAAAAATGGGTTTTTGATGAATTCGTTCCTAACGTAGAGACATTCTTAAAAAATCAAAATCCTCCAAGGAAAACAATATTACTGCTTGACAATGCTCCATGTAATCCGAATGATGATGAATTGGCGAGTGGTAATATTAAAGCCCCTTTTTTGCCACCCAATGTCACATCACTTATTCAGCCTTTAGATCGAAAAAACCTAGTTTGTTTCGGAGAACATGAAGAGAAATTATCGAAAGAAATTACTAAAATTTCTTATTGAAGGAATTGAGGAAAATAAAAGTGTTCCTGAGACACTTAAAAGTTTAAATGTAAAGGATTCTGTCTACTGGATAGCTGAGGCATGGGATGAAGTAAAATCAGACACCATAAAAAAGTCGTGGAGGAAAATTATCGATAAACAGAGTACATCACGGAAAGTCCAATGAATGCAGTGATGAGCTTTTGGATTTAGTCATTAAACTGCCAATAGCTAAGCCAATAAACGAAGAGGATATACGTGACTGGATAAATGCTGACGAACAAGAAGAAATTACGGATGAAATGATCGTCAATACCGTGAATAAGGAAAAGGAATCTAGTGATGAAGACAGTGAGGATGAAAATCGATATATGAAAATTTCACATGCAGATGGATTAAAAGCTATCGAAAGTACTATTGAGTACATAGAACAACAAGAAGCAACACCAGCAATCCTGTTATCTTTAAAAAAATGGCAAAACTTTGCTGCAGAAAAATGCCAAAGTTAGACAAAAAACAATTAAGGACTTTTTTAAGTAAGAACTTTAATTATCGTAAAAATATGAATTCCATGTGGTGTAACTGTATAACCTTTGTATTTGTTAAAATATATATTTAAACCTATACAATTTATCTTAATTTACATTTTTCGCTTTAACCGAGTTTTTCGGTTATCCGAGTTAGTCTTGGTCCACATTAACTCGGATAATCGGGGCTCAACTGTACTCTAAAATATAGAATCAGATGATCAAAATTAGGAAATATATCTAAAAGCTAGTCTTGAAACACAAATATGGCTAAAACTTCATTAAGCTAAAAAATTAAATTCCTTTTGGCACTCAATTAAAATTATACCCAAAATTATGATACAAAAATTCTAATATAAGACAATAAAATTCGATGAAAAAAATTCCAATATTGAGTGATTTTTAATTTAACAAATACTCAAAATCCCTATGTATTGCTTAAACTCTTCCTAATGGAGCATTCAATTATAACATTCATATATAACATTTAAAAATAATTATTTTTATGCACATTTCAAAAGAGTATACATTAAAAAGGTAAATTAAATGAAATGCTCAAACAACACTTATTTAAATTAAAAAATGCAAATATTTAAATCTTACTAATAATTATTAGTAGTATTAGTTTGAAATATTAAGCATTTTTAAATACTATTAGATATTTAGTTAATAAATAAATTTTACATAATTAGATTTTGATTGATAAAAAGTTTCGTTTAAAATTGAAAAAATCCTATTTCAATAAAATATATGTGTTAGATATATGTAATATAAAAAGATTCAACTAATCTTTTCATGTTATTTTTGTATCTAAATCTTCTAAATTAATTATTCAAAATTAAACACTTTCTTACGCTTTATTCACATCTGTTGTTTTGGTCCTATATTTATATCATAAGTAAGCATGAATTAAAATTTTAAATTTAAGAACCATATTATTCACTCAACCTATTTTATGTACCAATTGTAATTACTATCGTTTCTCTTTTTGCATGCGACTTGAAAGTTTCAGGGACTATTTTGTAAGATTTCCCCTAATTTTTATTCAGAAGCACTTTGATTTTGTGTCACTTGAAAGCTAGCTCTTCATGATCATGCCTTAATAAATATAATTTATGAATGGCCTGGTGTCTGAGTGCTGCTTTCTGCAATGTCTACTTTCTGCAATGTATTTTACCCCCTCTTTCCTTTTCAGTTTTATCCTTATTATATTGCAAAGCAAAGCTTCAATTTCAACTTAAAACAATTGTGATAAAAATCTCCTTACGAAAACAGAGAGGAAAAAGACATTTTTTCGTTATTGATTACTTGACCAAATTTGTTAAAAATTGTAGGGGACGTTCAATCAAGTTGGGGAGCTTGTTCAGTATAATATGGCATTGCTATGCTTCCTATAAAGCAATGGGGATTAGGATGAGTAAATCCATGGGTTGGAACCAACTGAACCAAATGTGAAAACTTTACATGATGTTCAAATTTGTATAAAGGAACCAAGACATTTATACTTAATTAAAAATCATAAAATTGCTGTAAAAATGATAAAGGATTTTAAAATGTACCATGAAGAAGCGGTAAGTCACAGTCGCTTAAAATAATTTTTTATCGCATCTTTCTTTTCAAATGGACCAATATAAAACAAAAACATATATATATATACAGATATATGTATTACATAAATTTCAGATTTTTTTTTCCAACCTGGGATAAAATTTTTGTATTAAAACAAAACATACCTGTTTCAGCAGCTCCATGTGATACATCTAATAAGAAAAGATAAACAGCTGGCTGTGGAGGCCTCAGCTAAAAATTAAAATATTTATCAAATTATCAAACAATTACAAAAATGTCATTTACTTGCTCAATATTAAGTTTATCAGAAACATCTATTATTACTTTATTAAAACATGATAGCATAAGAAAACAAAATTTTACTCAATAAATATAAAATTTTTAAAAATATAAAATTAATATAAAATTGTTTTCTGCATTTTTAATATTTGCTTTATGCATTTAATATTGATAAATAGATCTACACTAAACAATAAAACCTTGACTTTCTTAGACATATTTCATAGGAAATTTATGCAAATTAGCAAAATAATACCATCTTGATACATAATAAAGGTCTAAAATAATATTAAGTGATAATATAAATACATAAAAAGCATTCTTTTTTTTAATTCAGAAGCTAATCTTGTGGTACTATTTAAAGATTGAGAAGAGTAGAACAGCATTAACTTGTAAATTATATATCCATTATTATTTAACAGTAGTTCGAATAATTATTATCTATTCTGAACATTTTCTCAGTTACTTTTAAGTTTTAGATTTTATTATTCAAATTTAAAGGCTTAAAACTATAATTATTTTTCATTACATTATAAAATACTCAGACAATGTTATCTTTTTATAGAACAATAAATGATATTATATATAGATACTGTTTTAGAACTAGTAAATGAAAAAAAATTATTGCATTTAAGTTTTAATAAGTTATGTTTATCATCACAATAAACTATGTAAAATTATTCCATAAATGTATGCAATTAAAGTAATGAATAAAGTAGTAGTATAAAAAACACTCAACTAAAAAGTTTCACAATGCAACAGCGTGAAATAAATAGTTTAAGTTTTCATTGCATCATTACAATGTCTTTTTTCTTTGTTTTTTAGAGAAATAAATCTTTTAGCCATCCTTTTTAGAAAATTTATAAGTTAGGTGCAAACTGCATCTTAAAGTTTGGCATGAGTGATTATATGTCATAAAAAATGGACATTCCGTGAAGCGAATTTCTGAAATATAGTTTCCATTGTATCATTGTTCAGATCCAGAGATATTTTTTACTCCTATGCAAGCATATTTTATCCTTTAAAAATCCAAAATACTCCTTAGAAAAACCTATTTAGTTGTATTTTCATGCTTTGTATTGTAAATAAAAACTTAAAAACATAACTCATTTTTGAAACTTTCTTGACATTTTTTTCTTTGTTTCTCACTACATCCAAATTTTTCTATACCATAAACAACTAAATATGAAAGTTTTTAATCCTAAACAGGATATAAAAAATTAAAATAAATAAAACATAGGAGAAATTGACTGATGAGCAGTTAAGAACAATAACTCGAATATCAAAGTAATGACCTAGATTAAAATAAGAAAGTGAAAATTTTTGTGATTTCCAATTTGATAATGTTGTGAAGTCATGAGAATTGCAAAAGAAAAGAACTGAAATACATTAATTATACATTTTTTGTTAAAAATGTCAATTCTTTTTTTCTTTTGAAGTTTATGTAATTTAAAATATTATTTTTCATTCTTCTGAAGTGAATTTTACTGTACAAAAAAATAAATAAAAATAAAATCAAGGAATATTTTCCCTCCATGAAAAAAAAAAAACCCTGCTGTATCTCTGTTAAGGTCATTCTGGCAGGGGAAAAAAAAAAGAAGACAACCTCTATTAAAGATTGACTTCTACACAAGTCCAATTTTTGTTCACATAAATACTTAAAATATAAACATTTTAAAAACAAATTTGATATCTACATATATTAAGATTGATGTCTGCATATATTTCTCAATCATGCTTGAAAATTTAATAAATACTGTTACATCAAACTTAAACATACCATATAATCTGATGGTGCGATATATTCTATTGTAGCATTCTTTATTTCTGGTCGGCGAGCAGGGTCACCATATGATCTTGTAGCAGGATCATAAAGAAACTCTTCTGGCACTACAAGAATCAATTTAAATTTGATATAGTAACATAAAAATAAGTAAGCAATTCCTTTAAAAATAGAATAAAGAACAAGGATTGAAAAATTACATTCATAAAATTCAAATTTATTTGTTTATACAGATTACCCAAAAATTATCCAATTAACCAGTTCTATTAATTTTTCCTACTTTATGAGAGAGATTTTTTATTTCCTTATTGTTGGATTTATGAAAAGGGTAAAAAAATTTCTTCTTTTGTCTAGGTGTAGTAGTTTTCACTGAAGACTAGAAGTACAAAGAAGTCCAGATATTGTCACACAAAAATTGAGATTGTTAAGATTAAAGAAAAGTGAAACAATTGATTATGGGATAAGCACATCAACTGTACTAAATATTTAAAAAATAACCATTTGATTTTTAATTTTACATAATTTTTTTGCCGAACAAAAAGACACTCATAAAATATGCCCTAAAATTGCCAGTGGTAAGTCAGCATGGAAAAAGTGCAAAGAAAAGTTGCCTAAAAAATTTCACAGCCTGTTCAATTATCCAGATTTTTTTTAAGCGTTAAGACCAGATTTTTTTTAACCACTCCAGATAATCAGCACTCTACTGTACTTCAATTACAAAATATTTCTTATTTTGAAAATACTGAAAAGGAAAAAGCCGTTTAATGCAAAGTCCCAGTCTCATTCTAGAACAGAACCTATTTGTTTCCCTACTGACCTAACGACTTTTTTTAAATATAAGGGAAATGATGGTACATAATTTCAACATAAAAAAAATAATAATCTGATTTAAGAGAACAATGTGTTTTTATTGTAGTGAAAGAAGATTACAATAATCATTAAGAGAGAAAATATTAAAAAATACAACTTCTAAATTTTCTTTACAAATATATTTTAAGCTAGCTGGTTAATCTTTCTGGTTAAGTGGAAGGTTCCTTTAAACGTGATGTGAGCTACGATAAGTTTAAAACGTGAAGAGAAAATTTCAATTTCTTCTTATTTATTTGCAGAATTAAGTATGGCTCAGATGCTTATTTGTGGTGTAAGTAATGATTTGAATGGGGTAAAAGTCAGAATAGAATGTACCATACTGCATCAAATGAAAATTATAAGCTGACTCTTTTGTATGTTGCTAAAACAATATTATAAATTAAGTGATACACCTGAAATAATAGGTAAAATGCCTGAAATTTGACCTCTCATAAACATTTAGTCACTGTGAAAGAGATAATGATTAAGTCAAATGAAAGAAAACTAGAGGTTTCACACTTAGAAAATACAAGTTACCAACAGAAAATTGAAGACACACACCAAACAAAGCTAATATAGTAAGTACAGTATTCTTATAAAAAAAAATAGCTTAAAAAAATTGCTTCAACATTTTTACTTGTATGCAACTGTTTTACATGTTTCCTGACAAAGTGTTTTTTATAAATTTCAGCAACATTAAATTTGCATCAATTTTAAAATTTTTATATCCTGAATAATATTAACTTAGCTGTAATATTACAGAATTCCAAAAATACAAAAGAATTTAAAATTTCAAGTTTTAAATATAGATTTTACAAATATAACATTGAAAAATTATATAATTGAAAATAAATTTTAAAACTTACGATCATTAACTCGAAAGCATAAGTTGCATTTCCATCTCCTTTGATCAATAAATGATATAAATGGATTTATGTAGGTTCTACAACTTCTACATCTTACAATTGTATTACATTGAATAACGCATAATGACTAGAATAAAAAATAAAAATAGACAGTAAACATCATATACTTCAGTATGGTTTATTATCATTTAATGATGAAACAAGAACATATGAAAGCACAAAGTCCCATATCCAGACATCCTCTTACCCACAGTGTCTATTGTACCTACTTTACAGACACTTTGTAACAATTAAAGGAAACAAAGTTCTTTTTCAAATAAAAAATATTTTTTACACTAAATATAGAAAAAAAGTTAAAATAAAGAAAAGAAAAAAAATTTATCCTTTTCACTTCTTCTCTAACAGCTAAATATTTGGTTTGCCTCAATAAGCAGAATAGAAGAGTTGATGAAAGGATAAGAATGATGAAAGTTAAAGAATTAAACTTCAGGAGAAAAATAAACTGTAACATTAATAAATTTGAATATTAATAGTGTTCCAAAATAACACCAGCAGACAAGATTTGATCCGCTTTAAATTATAAATTTCTTAAAAAATCTATTCAATGCTGTTCTCTGATAAAGAAATTATTATTTTTAAATCAGATTACTTTACTTTTGGAATTTGAGGCTCATTTTTGAATGTTATTCATATCTGATAATCTGTTTTGCTAATTCTTTACACCATAAAAAGAAAAATGTATCCTAATTCATAAAAGAGAAGTTTCAAATTATACACTCTGCGCATTTTTACTTATTTTTTTATACTTAAATACTAAACTTTTTTATACTAAATATTCTGTACTTTTATAACTATACTTTTTTATACTAAATATTCTGTAGCTTTTTAAATATCGTTCAACCTAGAAGGAAACACATAAAACTGATATTAATTATCGTCAGTTTGTTAGTTTTCTTAATTGAAAAATGCATTTTTTTAATGTCTATTCTAACTTTATTAAGTCCAAACTCTTCTGGACATGTGACTTTCCACTGTATAAACAATAAAAAGAGGAATACATACTGGAGCGTCACGAAATGGGTGTATCAAAATCCCAAAAGGTAATCTAGACTTTCCTAGAAGAGAGCTGGTATCTGGAACCTTGGTTAACGTACATCTGAAAATTCTGTAGAAGAATATAAAAAGTATTATACCGTTACTCAATTATAAACTTTTAAACAAAAGCACATAAGACTTCAATAAGTAAAATAATATTCTAAGAAAAAATTACAACTCCCAAAATTACACAAATTAGTAAAAAACTAAAGAAATATCAAGTGAAATAATTTAATTTTGCTTAATAAAAATAAATTACTCTTAAAAACAACTTTGCTAACGCATTCATAAAAAGAGATGTGCTTCAGAAAAAACCATTAACGAAAGAACTTGAACTAGAAGTTAAAAAGGTGGGAAAACAAATATGAAGCAAACTGCATACTCTACAAAACATTGAAATAGTATCTTGTATAATTCTCAAATAAAACCTTCATACATTTGTTCAAACATACTTTTTTTAAACCTGTAGTGCAAGATGCCTTTAGCATACTTAGAATCAGTTTTCTCAATAGTTATTATATTATTAACCCAAATGATCTAACACATATTTGACTTATAAGACACTTAAATTATTCAAAAATATGACAAACCAAAAAACTGAATTTTTAAATTATAAAATGCAACTTTTTAAATTAAGTAAAATTTAAAATCATCATTTCAACATTTAGCTTTAAAATAAATTAAGTTTAGAGTTTGCTTATAAGATTAAGAAGCAGTCATAGATGTTAGAAAAATTTCAAAAATTATAATCAAAGCTTTAACTATGCTGTGTTGTCCATATAAAATTTTAAAAATATAGAAAACTCCAGGAGTATTGAATCAAAATAACAAACAAAATAAATAAAACTTTGGCTAGCAAGTCTGATTATTTAAGTGTAAAAAGAAAAATATTTCAGGAATAATTTTCATTAATATTAAAAATAAGAGAAACACAAATTTTGTTCATAGAAACCCCATATCTACTTCTAAAAAGACTGTCAATTTACAAATTTTCAATAATGATTTGTGAATTTACTTACGAAACAAAAGTAAAGATTTTCTAGTTTTAGCAATAGTAAAGGGACAATTATCCAGACCACTCAGAACTAAGGCTGATTATTTTAGTTGGACTATTTGATTAATGGCTAACCAAATAAACATCTGGTCACTTTAGGTCTGGCAAAATNTATATATTAATATATAGTAATTTTCGTTCTTATTTCACAGCTAATTTACAATTATAATCCGCTTAAGCGTGTTACACATGTAGCCCAAAATGTTTTTTACACTTTAGTCAGAAACATTGATTTGCAATAATAAGACATGATAGTCTTGAATAAATTCCTTTCATGTTGACCAAGAGAATATTCTAATTTTTAATGACCATTTAAGAATTTATAACCACACGGTTGCTACAGAAAAAAATGAACAAAATAGTTGCTTCTAGTAACCTAAAGCAGGAAAATAGTAGCCTAAAATTATGAAAATAGTTGCCTAATTAAGAACAAAAAAATTTCAATAATATGACTAAAATTTTATTAAATGACTTCATTGTAATATACCATGATCCATTAAGTCAAGTTGAAGGCCTATATGATAATTTTTAAATAAACGTTAGTGTTCTAGAGCTAAATTTTTATGTAAAAACAATTTGTATATTTGCAGAACATTAATTTTAAATGCTAGAACTAATGCAGAAAAATAATTTTTTGTTAAAAAAATCATACTCTTTCTATTAATTTTCCCTTTCACATAATTTTTCCTTTTATCAATAATTGATTTAGCATATATATATATATATATTGAAAAAGTGATTACTAAAATTTGAAATTCAAGCATCATGGTATCGTATTACAAATTGGGTTCTTTAAAATCAGGCAGAGTTTCATAGCAATACATTGAAAAGGCGATTGAGAAACAAAATAGTTTCACAATGGAATCTGTGCAAATTGAGTGCATTAAAAAGTGATGATTTAAATTTGCATTCAATAATTTGTTCATTTTTTAGAGAAAAAAAAAACATTACATTCAGAAGCTACAGCAGGCCACAGGTTGTCAACCCAATTTATGCTAAAAAAAAAAAAAAAAAAAAAAAAAAAAAAAAAANCTTGGAGCACAGAAAAGTCTCCTTTTCCTGAAAATAGTTGCTTTTATAGCCTTTTCAGGCAAAAAAAAAAAATTAGCCAGTTGCCTCAGGGCAAAAATAGTTGCATTTTAGTCACCTGTGGCAACTCTGTAACCAATCTAATCTATATCCAAATTCAAACTTATAATACAAGCATTTTTAATACAAGAACCATGGTTCAACTAAAATTCAAATTATTGGAATGCATAAGTTCAATGGTATAAAAGTTGAATGAATTGTGTCTTCAAATAACATGTTCTTAATATATGGAAACTATTTACCAATCAAGTCTTATGCAAAATTAAAAGTGAAAAGGAAAAAAGTATATGTATGACAGAAATTAAGCTTTAGTCATTTCACACAATTGTTCAAAATTACAGTACAGTAGGGAAACGATTATTCGGAACCATCGCTATTCCGGATAACTGATTTTTCCAGTTTTCTGAATTGCTACAAAAAGCCGGTTTTTTTTTATTGTTGAACCCAACTAAAAAAAAAATTTGGAAATAATCTTAAAAAGAAGAAAAAAACGATGAAGTAATATTATTCCAAATGATTGAATAATATGAATGGTTAATAATGATTATTTCCAAAATGAGGGTAAAAATCTTTCAAAAAAGAAAGAAAAATCTTAAAATCTTATGAGGAAAAAAAAATTTTTTTTTTACAAATGGCAGGAAAATTCCTCGAATTTCGTTCCGGTTTATTGGTTTTCCGATTTCCGGATAACGGGTTCTGTACTGTATTAAGTATTCTTATTTAAAATAAAACTTAAGAAAATTACTCAACTTTCGATGAAATCAGTTTTTTTATTATTATTTATTAATAAAACAACTTACTCAGGACTGCAGTTGGGACGCTCTGGTGTTAAAACTGGCTTAGGAGCATCTATGGGTAGAGGTGGTAGAATATTACGATCTTGCAAAAGATTTATACTATCATTGCCCTGAAATATAAAAAGAGAAGATATTGTAAAACAATCTCATAGCTAAAACTGTTTTCTATCTTTTTTTTTTATAATCAAAAGAAAAAATGGATTTAAAAGTCATTTTTGGTGAATAAAGATACCTTGTAGCAACATCTATCATTGTTTCATAGAACTTTCATTTTCAAGATGTACCAAAAAAATTCTGGAGAAAATAAATAGCTCAATTGCCATTTTTTAGAGTAATTCCACAGCTTTAATTACTTAAATTGCACAACAATTTCCAACATACTTTATCTTGATACTGTATAACAGACAATTGGTTGAGATTGCCATGTCAGAGAGCGTAGCAACATCGTAGGTAAAAGCCATAGGGATGGAAAGTGCTGTACTATCATTAATATTTCTTGGACTTAAGGCTTTGTGACTGACTTATTAAAAGGAGCAGATCTAGTTTTTCCCAAATAACATAAAAATAAACATGTTCTTTATTTTGAATTACTATTTGGTTGAAATTTATCCATGCCTAATATAATACATTCAATATAATTCAAAAACATTATAGAAATCTCCTTGCAGAAATCTTTTATCTGTCAGGGTTGACATTTTTGTCTCAAAGAAACTTAACTATATGAAAGAAAAAATTATCAACACAATTATAATAATATGGGCAAAAAGCATTAATTAATACAATGACAAGAATAAAAAAATATTAGTTAATTAACAATTTTAGTACAGTGCCAGAAAGTTAAGAATTTTCCAGATCAACTCTTTAAAACATTATTTATATTTAAAAATCTATACATAATATTATTTAAGAGTTTGTTTGAATATTCCTACTTAGTAACAGCATTAAATTCTAAAAATTTGTATGCAATTTATAATTGTGAATTCAATATGCAATCAGTAGTAGTATGTGATTTATTAATTTAGTACCTGTTCCTCACATTATTGAAATAAGATATTACTATCAGGGGTCTGTCCAGGCCGAATTTACTACCGTTTAGCGGTACCTTCACAAATTCAATTTTATTTAAAACGGTAGTTTCACAAATTCAACTTTAGGAAAAACGGTAGCTTCACAAAATACTTTTCCTTAAAATTTTGTTTTTGTATCCGTTAAGAAACATTAAATCTATATTTTTACCATGTTTTTGTGTTGATATTTTAATATAATTTTTAATTTTTCACAAATTATGTCTAAATTTTCACGAAATAGGTACCTTTCAGAAAAACCTAGACAGACCCCTGACTATACTCATTTACATAAAATATAGCAGGACTACAGTAATTTTTATTTCTTAAGAAACATATTAAAATTTTCTTTCCTATTGCTGCTTTTAGTTTTCACATATTTAAAAATGATATATTAAAAAAGCTTGTAAATTAATAAGATTACTTAATAGGCTGCAATTAAAAGTTAATGGAAAAAAATTTTAATATTAAATATTTATTTTTGAAAGAATTTCTCTCATTCCGGTTAGAAGAAACTTATTTTTTCCACACAATTCTCTTCGTGGTTCTTTTGGTGATTTTTTACAAACTTGTAATCTTTGGTAAAAATAAAAAATTGAAAAAAAATAGTATAATTGATTGCATTTCAAATATTTACATGAAAAAATGAAATAAATTATGTATTGTTGTGATAATGAATATTACATTTCAAAATAAAATGTGACTTGTTTCCTGTTGCAGAATATTTAAGTAGGACAAAGGGAAGAAAGATNATTTACTAAAGGTTCTTTCGGTGATTTTTTACAAACTTGTAATCTTTGGCAAAAATAAAAAATTTAAAAAAAAAATAGTATAATTGATTGCATTTCAAATATTTACATGAAAAAATGAAATAAATTATGTATTGTTGTGATAATGAATATTACATTTCAAAATAAAATGTGACTTGTTTCCTGTTGCAGAATATTTAAGTAGGACAAAGGGAAGAAAGATGCAATTCATTTAATAGTTTCTTGGGATTTACATATCATACATCAAAGCAATAAAAATCTAAATCAAAGCAGCTTACTAACCCATAATTTGGAAAAACTTGTGTGTACGCTCATGCCAGCCATTTTGGCATGAAGTTGTGGATCATAACCAGAAGCACCCCCAACAGGACCTTCGGGTAAAGTGCTTCCCCCACGTAGCTGTGGGGAATATGGTTGAGGTTGTTGATAAGGAGTTTGTGGTGAACTATTGTATGTAGATGTAGGAGGCATTAATCCTGGTTGACTTACAATTGGACTAGCATAAGAAGGTGTTTGGTTATAACCAACCTAGGAAAAAAAAAACATTTAATATATGGTTAAATTTCAACTTAAAATATGGTCTAAACCTGTGACTCAAGGTTTAAGCTTTGAGTGTGACCTCAAAATTTCAGTCAAAAAACTTATTTCAGCAATCTTTAGTCAAAAGTAAGGATGAAAATCTAACCTTTAAATTTCAAAATGCAAAGCTAACAATTAAAAGAATTTTTAAAAGAAAAAATTTTTTTTTTTGACAAAACAAGTGAAGTTCGAGTATTCACGTAAAATTTGAAAGCGTAAATAGTTTATATACAGTACAACACAATAGAATCATTTTTCGAAAATTTTATTAGAGATAAATTAACATTAAAAGTATTAATTACAACATATTCGAAATTAGTAACTAAACAGATTTTGAATCTAATACTTGACATACCTGTTGAGGATATCGAGGCCTAACAGGACCAGATTGTGGTGTAACAGGAGGAGGAGCAAAGCCCGATTGTGAAACAGCAGGGCTACTGTTGGGCGGATAAGGCATTCCAGGACTGGAGTAGTTAGAAACTTGAGGTGATGCATGCTGATCATTAGAACTTTTAGGTGGCCCAAGCCCCACATTTGGAGAAAAAGGCTGCAAGCTAGGCAAACTTGCAGAGCTACTAGATGGACCTAAAAAAATTTACTAAATTACTTTGATCAAATAAGACAAGAATTATGAAACTAGAACTTAAATTTGACTAGAGTATGATTTAAATGATAATTTATTCAGCTGTAATTTAAAAAAGTTATTTAGATGGATGTGTTGTTAAAATGTTAGAAGTATCAAACGAGTCACCTACTGGGTTTATTAGAAAACTGTCCCTCCATATAGTCATAGCGATGTGAGGAAATCGGAGAAGGGTTTCGGGAGGATCGGGCAGAGGGGGGTTCTATAAGAACAGAAGCAAAGAAATCTAATAAGCACACATATGAAAAGAGGAGATTATGCAGTCGTAACTAACTGGTAAAGTAGCATTAGACTAATTATCTGGTAAAGTATACTTCAATTAATTTGAAGTTAATTTGTAAACGGAAAATCTAAATGGAAAAAAAAAATTTAAACAGATTTGTGGATTTAATTCTTTGAATAGGAAAAACTGCCGCTTTTTTTTATTTTTTATTTTATGAAATACAAATTATTAACAGATATCTAAAGAACTCAATCTAAAAATATCACCAGATAATCATCTAAAACTAAATGTTATATTTTTAGTATACAAAGTTGCAATAATTTAACATGCTTATAGAAATTTTCTGCCATGCTAAAATGTTAAAATTTAAATACTGCACACATCAATCAGCAATATAATTTTGTGGAATTAGAGATTTAAAAAACATGTTTTAACCAAAGACCAATAATTAATTTAGCAATTAATTCAGACAAGCAAAGGTTAGCAGATCTATTACAATTTAAATGCAGTTAATAGCTGAAGAAGGCAAATAATAATAAATAAATAAAACCACATATGCAAAAAAGATATTTTTTGCGTATTGGGAATCAGATTGAGCAAAACAGAAAAGAAGAAATTAAATGTTTAATTAAAAATAAAAAAAAATTTCTAATTATCTGAACTTGATTTTTAATGCTAATATCTTAAAAATATTAAAATATAAACAAGTGATTCTACAAATTTAATAAAATTTTAAACATGAAATTGTCTTTCAAAAATTTGGAGGAAAAAAAAATTATAAAATACTTAAATTATTAGTTAATTATATTTATCAGTAAAGCATAGATATTTGTATTTTATTAAAATTATGAAAGCCATGTGAATGAAAAATCGAAATTTATGCTATCACCAATTAAAATTGAAAAACTATAAGTTTGTATACCATCAAAAACTTGGATTCTCAAGAGCTATCACTATACATAATTAAAAGTAATTTATATTTCATCTTAATTTTATAAGCCACGTTAATGACAAGGGTTAAAAACATTTGCCTTGAAGATGAAGTAAATCTTACAAGTTGATCGTAAAATTTTCCAAGAACAGCAAAATTCAACTTCATTGCTAACAATAAGTAAATAAGCATGTGTTCTAACATTATTGCCATTTTTAAAATTTTAATATCTTTAAAAATATATAAATAAAAAATTATACTTTTCAGCTGTGTGCCATGGGATAAAATATTATTCTTTTTTTAGATAAAATTGTTTGACTTAACTATTTTTGTTAAATAATGTTCTATTAGTCACAAGAAAAATTTTGAAAGAAAATAAATTTCAATTCTCTAGAACAGTGTTCCCCAATCCCCGGTTCGCAGACCGGTAGCAGTCCAAGGATCAAATGGTAACCGGACGTCCATTTCATTGAAACTGAATTTAAATTCCCACATTTATAACCCCAAATTAAAAATATTTGTGTTCCATTAAAATTTTATTTATTTAAAAAAAAGGGGCCCCTGAAGGTAGTGGCGTAAATTTTTTAATGTTTTAAAATGTAAAAAAATAAACAATAAAACCACCGCAATTATTTTCTCTTTCAATTAGTTTTAATAAAAAAAAAATCAATCATCATAACGGTAAATATCATTAAAAAAAACTCAAAAGCGCGACGCGAAATTTACATTGGACGAACTTCGTCTTCTCTCTCAATCGTGACTAACTGACTGAACATTCTAGTAAGTTAAAATGCTAAATCACTTTAGATTTATTTTTTGGTCTAACTGCATTTTATTTTGAAGGCATGTTTAAATACTATTAAATTAAAATTAATAAATAAAAATAATCTAAAATATAAACAATCCACGTCCCCCCCCCCAGTAGGCCACGGTAAAATTATCAAGCGTTGGCAGGTCAGCGGTGATAAAAAGGTTGGGGAACACTGCTCTAGAACGCACAAGATATAAGTATTATAAGGCAATGCTTGTGATTGTTTTAATGGAAAAATAATTTGTTTCAAAATAAAAACAATTTAAGATGAGAAAAAATGTGATAAAGGAGTTTTTAAAAAAATGTAGGTAAAACAATCAATACACAACAAAGATATTGGCCCTAACAAATATAATTCTAAATTTATAAAAAGATCTATGATATCAAGCTGATTTGTAAGTTGCAGATTGCTTCAACTAAAATTAAGTAACATATTATTACGAAATGTATTACAGATATTCAAACTCTGCTATATAAAGAATATAATTTTTAATTAAGAGAAATCCAAAATAATAGAGATGGAAAGAAACAGGATGTAAGTTTGGATAATTTACATCTGACAAACTTTAGGCATAATAATGATGGAAGTGGTTAGTCCAATTCAGTAGTTAGTTGATGTAGCATCATTGTAGTATTAAGCATATCTTTGGCCGCTTCAGATATATCTTATCTTAATTTGAGTATAATGTAGGGATATTTATCCCAGAAAAATGAATGAAACAATTTAGGAAAAATTGACTTATTAAGTAAATGTTAAATAGAACATGGCAAAATTCAAAAATTTTAAAAATAAAGAAAAGAAGCCCCTCAAAGGGATCAAGAAAATTATTCTTTTCCATCAAGAATATTATGTAAAATATCTACTCAACAGTTGGACTGACAGGCTCAAACGCTTCCAGTCCAATCGCCAATAATTAAAAATTGAAAGAATGACTTGTTCGCAACGGACAGTTATGAGCTTGTGGAAAGATTAATGGTTGGCGATTTATTGAAAGATAACAAAACCAAAAAGAAAAACCAACAGTTTAATATTCAATTCCAATTTAATATTCAAGTAATCAATATTAAATTTGAAAATAATTCAGCAAAAGTAAATAGCCAAAAAGACTGAGAATTAGTATAATCATGTAATTGAAACATTTTTGTGGTAAGAAATAAAGAATAAAGAGTTATAAATAGATTTACATTGGTTGTTAAGAAAATAATAAATTATTTTATATTCACTTTTTATAAAATGTAATAAAAATTAAATAACTGGTTTAATTTAATTAAAAATCAGTTGAGAATGATTATGAGAAAATGAACATTTAAAAGCGCATATTTTTGAGAAAAGTTTAATAAAAGTTGTAAAATTTTAAAATCACTTAAAAAATTTATTACTATCTCCCCGAAAAGAGATATTCATAAAAATTAAACTAGTTGAGAAATCCTAACAAAGTAAATATTTGTAATAGTAATCAGAGTTAAACCTATAAATGCAGAAAAGTTTACCATGGAGCTTAATTATATTTTAAACAGTAAATTAATGTTTTTAAAAACAATTAAAATAAGGAGTGTTTTTCAGGAAATGCGATTTATTTTTATAAAAGGCCAAAGTGTGTTAAAAGAGTAGGCAAGGTGGGGCGCTCTTAAAAAAACACTTAGGCAGAACACTATGCTCACAATAACATGAGAGAGTCGCAGTATATCATTTTCCCTACAAACTTAACAACCCCTCTTAAGTGCACTTTGGTCTAAGATAATTATGCTTCTAAAATGAAATACTATGTTGAAATATCACATATTGACAAACACTATTTTGCCATAACTAAGTAAAATAGACATCTAAAATATGTTATCAACACATTTTAACAAGTTTAATGGCAACTAAAACTAGGAAGCTGGACTTTTCCTGTTGGATTTTAGGAAAGAGGATTAATTTTACTTGCATTTAGCAATAATTGACAAAACAAATGTATTTTAACTAAAAATTATATATTTTTTTATTCAATTTCTGTTTTAGAATGAAAAGTACAAAATTAACATTCAGTTTTATCTAACATTGAAATGTGATAAAAAAAAATTTTAAATACTGGTTAGATAATTTATACTGGTTAGAATTAGAACTTACGGGATGTTCCAGGCGTCACCTGAGGGCTAGATGAGTTCACAGCCTGATTGCCATACGGCAAAGGTAAACCTGCAAAAGATCATGTTTGTAAATAGTTGCGAAAATTATTATCACAAAAAGATATAATACAGAATTATTTAAGTATATGATTTTGATAAGAATATTTAAAATGACTAGCTTTTCTTAAGAAAATGCTATAATATTCTAAAAATTTTTGGACACCTGGATTTTCTAGATTCCTCAATTTTCCAGATTATTATTAGCTTTATTGACATGCAATTCATTTTTAAGAATAAAAATAACTGATTAAATGAAATGGAGACAATTGATAAAATAGTCATATTTTACCTAACCGCACCTATTTTTGAAGAGGGAATATTTCATAATTATTTTTTTTTAAATGATACTTAGAGGAATTAACTACAAAGCAGAAAAATAGTTAGAGAAATAGTCATTTTAAGAACAACATCCACAACTACTGATGTTTATTCTTGTCTCTTTAGCAGCAAAAATAGGTTAAATCAAATAGTTCTTAATCGTTATTAAGGGTAGGTGTCTATTTTGTTATTTGACTCTGCCTTCTAAGTTTAGTTTACAATTACAAGGTCATACAGAATTGCACATCTTATTTAAGGTTTCCCGCCAAAGAAAAGATAAGAAAAACTTTGACATGAATAAAACTTAAAAATAATGTATACAGTTAATTTGAAATGCACGGGCATTGCTATTCAACTAAATTTTAGAGTAAAAAAACTCATACGACATGATTAAAAAATATTAGTAGAAATTTATTTCCATTTACTTTTCTCTGTCACTCATTATTTCCCATATAAATGTAAAAAAAAAATCAATATAGGGTATTTTGTTAATTTAATCATAATTAATATTAATTAAATTTATATATATAGGATATTAGAGATCGTACCAACGAGATTAAAGATATCATCTAGAGGTTCCATTACATCATCCGGACCATAGCCCAAATTAATTACAGATGCAGGAACAAAATGCAAACCGAAAACTTTAAATTGATCTTTATTTTAAAGCTTCAAACAATATAGATGCTGGTAGTTTTCTTCCTGTTGCACCTCGAGCAAGAAGTGGTAAATTGTTAATTATAATCTAATTTTTAATAACTTTAATTACATTTGTTATTTGTTCATAATTTTTGTGAGATTAGAATCTTGACTTATTAATGTATCCCACCCCTTTCATACATATGTATGCATTCATATATACTTTGTTTGTCTAAAGTAAGAACTCCCCATGCCATTTGTTTAGGCATAACTATTTTAAGTAAGGTAGGGGTCATTGTTTACGACAGGTTTTGGCTTGGGTCCGCAAGAGAAAAGGAATCCTTTTCTTCGGTCTACTGCAGAATGAACCTAGACTGAAAAGAAGCTACCCGTCCTGAAATGCACTACTCTTGTTTCCCTAGCAGCAGACAGCCTCAGAATTTGTGGCAGGGCGTTTTTAGCATAGACAAACTATAGAACTACATGAAAAACCACTTTTCTTTAAAATAAAAATGAAAATAGGGCTGCAATAGAATAAAGATTAAAAAGAAACACAATTATTTACATAAGTATTTCTTCTTCACAACTATCAATATTTTTAATTATAACAATACCAGAAGAACCTAACTTCATACCAACAATAGAAAATTGAGGTTATCACCTACGCCATACCAAAGGTAGAAGATAAGTAGATTGCCGTTGAGATTTGGAACTGCTTGAGACCTGATCAAAATTTAATATAAAAGATGTGTTTTTTTTTTTTAATCATCAAGAATTATTTTATATCTCTATGTAAAACTACACTTTCGAATAAAGGGTCAATCATAAATTCTACAAAAAAATGAAAAGAATTTTTGTATTTCGAGGAAGAGGTATGTAGCAAATTGAGTCCTGGGACCAGTGAAACCAGCATCTAGCCCATGGTAATCATAAGTTTTACAACAATTTCTTTGTCAATTAACAGTCTTATAGATATAACTGCCCACTGATAATTTATGAAAAAACATTGACAACTATAACAGTTAAATAATTTAAGACAGATTATCAGTTTCTGGTTAACAAATAGTCACACCTAAATCAGCATGTAATAAATTGTTCTGTTAAGATACATATAATTCATAATAAATAAATAGAAAAAAACAAAAATAGATAAATGGTGAATGAAATGATATACTAACACATAATATACTAATAATGCGGATAATTAAACTGGTTAAGATACAAGATCATACTTTTAGGTATGAGGCCGTTCAAAAAGTACGTACATCCCGAAAGGGGGTGAGGGGATTTGCTATTTTGTATGATGGGGAGGGGGGAGGTATTATACAAAGTACGTACATTATAAGCATGTACCAAATTTAAATGACTTTTTCCTACACAGTCCTTAAATAAATATTTAATTTCATTTAAAACATAATTATTTTAATTTTTATGAAAAAGGGGGGTAGACTAATAAAATGTACGTCTCTAAGGGGGGGNGACCTTATGTACGGTAATGTACAAAAAGGGGGGAGGGATTATAATTTCTCCATGTTTGTGTCTGTACTTTTTGAATGGCCCCTATGTTAATAAATATAATTTTAACAATTCAACAAACAAGATCATTCTAATTTATTAACTACCATTTTATTACTTCAATTAAATACCAACTACTAAAAAGTTCAGTGAGTTAATTATGTTTTATTAACAGATTAAAATAATTCCTAATCAACTAAATGCAATAAATAGTTTTGAACTACTTTCAGGACACTAATATCATAAACTTATGTTTTATAGCTTAGTAGAGCAAAAACTTAGGTTAAAAGGGTTAAAGAGTATAGTACCTTGAGATGACATCTTGACAAGATGTAATCTCAAGATGTCACTATGGTATCTTGAGATGACAATGACAAGAAGGGGCCAAATTCGAAATCTAGATAAGTCTGCGAGTAGTACTATTTTAGTACGGTATAATTTGAACTATCAAAGATTTTATAAAGAATTAAGGAACATAATCATAACAATGAAAATTTTTATTACACAGATAATTGAATTACATTTGACATGTAATAAAAATTTTAAAAAATAACAAAACCAAGTAGAAAGACTATAATTGGTTCCGAGTGATACAGTCAAACCTCGATATCTCGAACTTGAAGGGAGATGAGAAAAAATTCGAGTTATCAAAAATTCGAATTATCAAAAATCGCATGTTATCGATGGTAGAATAAAGAAAAATGCTCTTTACATACCTTATTTACTATTCCATATTTATTCTAAAAACACTTTTTACACTTAAAAAGATTCAATTGTTGTTTGCTTTAAAGATGCATAAGAAAGTTTGTCTATAACACTTTCTAAGTAGACTATAGCTTTAAATGTCGCCTCTGACATATTCGGCTGCCTCTCAATAAATCTCCTTAGAGTGTCCATTGCAGAAAGTGCTTGTTTGTTAGTAACATTGGGCGGTAAATCTTTGATTTCCTTGTCCTCTTTTTCTGATAGTTCACGAGAATCTTTCGTTTGAGTGATGATATTGCCACCCCACTGACCACACACTGTTACTGCATCATTTACGTTTACAAAGTCATGAAACTCGATGTCATCAAGCTTCACGAGTCCGGTTAATCTGATCCAATCATTTTCGGTGTAGTTTTCAGTAGAATTAACGACATTGATTGTTGGACTACTTTCGTGATCTTTAATGAATCCAGACTTCTTGAAGCCATTCATTATCGTAGAGGAAGACACATCATTCCATGCCATGTGAGCCATTCTTAAATTTTTTTTATTTTTTTTGGAATATTCTTTTAATTTTAGAAAAAAATCACTATTTATGGAAAAAAATTAAAGTCATCGAGGGATTAGAAAAAAAAATTCGTGAAATTAAGTTTTTTTTTTAACATTGAATGTATAGGAAATTTGAAGGGAATTTTTTTTTCTTCGAGATATCGGAAAATTCGTGAAATCGAGGTTCGAGTTGGCGAGGTTCGACTGTATATAATTTAGGTTTAGGATTATCAGATGTAAAAAAGAGGATGCATCATAAGGATGCATCAACTCAGGGTTGTAAAACATGTATTTACTTGGAACAGTGCCGATACGTAGATTACTTTAATATTAATAATGCCTGCTTATATTTAATGAAACAGTTGCATGTCTCATAACCAATTTCATCTGCCTTCATTATGTTACTGTCAGTTTTATAAGATTTTTTGTTTTATCACAAAATAGTAAGAAATTTTTTTATGCATGAATAAAAGAAGAAAAAAAATCTGTACCTGAAGAAGGCACCTGTGATGTAAGAGGCACAGCTTTACCATCACCACCAGCAAGAGATGATGGAGACATACCCTGGAACTGATTTGGTGATTTAGTCAACAAATTTTGACCAACATTTCCAGGCGACATACCCTGTGGTGGAGGTTGAAGTCCCCAAGGAGAAGATTGTGAAGATGGATTCACAGGACTTGATCCATTAATACCATTAAATTGTGCCTGGCCTGCTCCATTAACACCAGATGAATTGAAATTTCCATAAGGTGTTGATGGAAAAGGACCATTTTGTACGCCTAAATTGGACCTCTCTGAAGAAGGCATTTGAGGAGTTTTCGGACTAGCAGCATTCAGTATACTTTGGCCTTGAGGTGATTTTAAAGATGGCGGCAAAGGTGATGGAGGTTGAACAGTAAAATTATAGTTCTGAGAATTATAGGGCGATGCAAATTGTTGAGGCACATTTCCTGAAGAGAGTGGAGGAGGATTCACAGGAGAAAATGGCTGATTATATGGTGAGGACCCAACTGCACTATGAGACATAGGAGGCTGGTTAGTGTTGGGAGAAAGAACATTTTGATTGTTGGGATACATGAAAGGTTGCGTTAAATTTGGATTTTGGGAAGTCATTTTCCTAAAATGAGAGGAAACACAATAAGTATCAAATACATAATTTTAAAATTATGTCATCCTATACATTCAAATTAGATGAGTGCCAAAACTCAAATTGAAATTTCTTTACTTGAAACTTAAATCAAATATAAAAACTTCAATAGAGTTAAACAAGGCAATAAAGCACATAGATAAAGCTTTATTCATATACAGAACAAATTTAACCTCTTCTTTAGAACAATTTCACGCCTTTATCTTAGTAATAAATTTAATAATTTTCAGAATAGGTGGTTTTGCTAAAGCATAAAGCTTAACTCTAGATTGATAAACAATGAACATACATGAAAGAAATAAACATCAGTCTAATTATCTAAAGAAGTACTTAGATGTTCATTTTACTATTTTTTCCTTCATAAAATTTTCAAGTGTTTACATAATTTGTTTTTATGAAAGGAATGCTTATGAATTTAGGGTTAACGCTTGTGCAATTAATGTCAAAAAAAAAGAAGACAAAATAAAACTATTTCCAACTTATTTTCATGAAAAAATCTATAGAATTCACCATTGTTCAAATTTTTAAGAATATACCTTTTGCTAGATAAAGTCTTCAAGATTTACTATTTTTGCAATGCACTTTATCAAAATTACCCCTTTAAAAACTATCAGCTTTTATATTTTTTTTCACTGACATATTTCATAAAATTACATGGAATAAAAAAACAAACTATTCTTATGAAGAGATAACTGAATGTTTCAACAAATAAATAGAATACAACACTCAATAGAGCAGCTTATTTTATTTATTATTACTAATATGATTCCTAGTACAATTCACAATAATTTGATGTACAAAATTTACTTTTGAGATTAATATGCAAACATAGAAATTTCATAAAGAGGTAATTTAAAATTTAAATGAATAAATAGAATATAACACTTAAAAGAGAGTAACTCATTTTTTCAAAGATTCATAGTTCAATTCATAATTCGTGATTGCATTAAATATATAAAATTTGCCTATGAAAATCTTAATTAAAATCATACATAGTGACATGAGTAAATATAAAACTTGAAAAGGTCTTATGAATAGAAATTATATGAAAACTTAATGGAACTTTCTAGAACATTGAGCCTGTTCTTACTTTGCACTATAAACACATAACAAGAAGAGAGAGATACTCAAAATTTTTCTGAATTTCTTTTGGATTTAGGAAGCTTATTATTTGCACTCTGCAAATGTTACATTAAATCTAATAATTTAGTATGATTAACTAGAAAAAAGTTAAAGGCATCAAACTCAAAAATCCTTAATTTAATGAGGTAAGTATTAAAAGAACAAAACAGTAAATGCTAAAATTATTTTAAAAAATGAAAGTAACATGTACAACAAATTCATAAACACAACCTTAAGTAAGGTTTATTATTGATTCAAATTTAACGTTCAGAAATTTATGAGCACAAATTAAAACATTTGAAACTCATTTCAGTTAACTTCACTGCTCTACTACACACGTAAGCACACTAAAAAAGTCTAATCTCTCAATGAATCTTTAAGCATAAAGGCCTGAATCAATAGTTATATTGTTTAAATGACTATTCAATACCTATTCTATACAACAACCTCTAGACAGGTGAACTCTTAGACTTCAAATAAGAATTTATCACAGATTATCAGAGAATAATAATTAATAAGAACTTTTTAATGCATAAAAAACTGACTTAACTAATTAAATTTTTAATTAGAATAAAATCCTACTTATATAACAGAATTAAATATCCATTGACATGCCCACAAAACTTCAAAATCTTCCTTTACTGTATTTTACAAAATCAATATAGCAACAATATGCGAAACGGAATTTAATAGAAAAACAAAACAAGATTATATAAGCTAGTGCGATAAATAGGAATATCAGGGTAAAGGATCTAAATAATGGAATATGATATAAATGTCAAGAAAAACGATAAAGAAATCAGTGTGAAGGCATATACTATTTGCAAGGTGCTTTTATTAATTAAAAAATGGATAAATAAAAACGAAGAAAATGTATGTTGGTGTAATGTTTATTTACTTTCATGACGTCTGTATGAGCTCCAGGAATTTGCTCTAGGATAAGTAAAACTAATATTATTAGAATTAATATCAGTATGTATTAAAACAAATGGATTACCATTTCAATTTTATAAGAAAATATTTAAATCTTTATTAAATTGTCAAATGAAGCAAATGTTTTGTTAATGCATCATATATGATACAAACAAACTTTACAAAGTCTAATCAATTAACGAAACTAAAGGAATGAATATAACAAAAAATACTTACAATAATATCAATTAAACAGCAATACTCATCACTTTCTCCATCAAATTTCTTTATTTTTCCTGAACCTTGAACATTAAATTGATGACGTTCAGAAACTTTACATTCAGCCAACACGACCGACAATCACAAGGAAAGAGTTATGCGCATGCGCAATGTCAAACTGACGTGGCGCGTTGCCGGACAAGGAAAATATAAAACAAATAATGCTGATTAAATTTTATTTCATTTTTAAGCTCTTTCTTATATACAAATTTGTTGAATTTTTTTTTATTGAAATAGGCTCTCCTAAAGGAAAAAATTTACTTGGTTAAATACATTTTCTTCATAAAAAGAAGTTGAATTCTAATCTATTATCATCTCAACTCATCTTTTGTTTCCTGTGTTTGTAAACAAATGCATTGACATGCTTTAAGGAGCAATTCGTCGCTTTTAGTTAATTTTTTTTTGTTCCAAATTTTTTGTGTAAAACAGTGCAAAAACCATGAAGATCACTAGGCAAAAGCATGTACGCCGTTATTTAAAGTTTTACAAAAATAATTATCAGTTTAGATCACCGTATCAAATTCTGATTGACGCTACATTCTGCAATGAGGCTCTTCAATGCAAATTGAATATCAAAGAACAAGTTCCGAAATACTTAGAAGATCCGAATGTAAAACTATTTACTACTCCATGTGTTATAGCAGAAGTTGAAATGTTGGGTAAGAACAAAATTAACAGTCTGCCCATAACATGTCATTCATTATTAAAAAAAAACAATTTTGTTTAAATCACAATTAATAACCTTACAAATTTAACATTTCTCAGATTTCTACTTTTTTTTAAAAAAAGTGACCTAATTTTAAATATTGGATGATAACATAGTTTATAACTATTCACAAGAGCCATTCAGATTTTGTCAATTCAGATGGAGGATTCTGAACCTCAAGAAAGAAACCTTCATGAAAATTCATATTGCAAATAAGGAACCTTCTCCGATTTCTAATCTCTAAAAAATTTAGCTCTAAAATTCCTATTTACCAACAACATATTTTTTGATTCACCATTTCAATTATCTTCTTTTCATTCTCATCTATATAGAAATGTTTACTTTTGTGTGAACTGAGGGTGAAAACACTATTAAATAGGCTAGAAAAACTGAAAACAAGAAATGTGTGACCCAAACTTTCTGTTTTGTAGAAAGTTTTTCATTTTATCTAAGTATGCCCATCAATAACATTTTCTATCAACATTCAAAAAATGAGTGAGTTTATAAGCAATTTTTCAAACATAACTCAATGATTCGAGGAAAGGCTTTTTTTTTAATTTTTTTAACATGTGTGTTAAGACCAGTATTTTCATTACAGAAAATTCGCTTTTTTTCCAAAATTCGCTCATTTTGAAATTGATTAATAGAGTGCACAATTCTCTCGCTTTAATAATTTTTTTAATGCGAGAAAAATAAGCGAGATTCTCGCTCTGTAGTGAAAACACTGTAAGACTTTTTTTTCTATTTAATTTTATAGACTTTTATGTGTTATATTTTTGGAGATTACCAATATCTCATCAAAAGTACGAAGAAAAGAGTTTAGTGACCGTTAGACTCTGAGTAGAATATAAGAAAAAACAAGATTTTAGCAGCAAACATAACCGTTTTAATGGTAGAAAATATTTCAAAATTAACTAGAAAACGGATTGATATCTTAAACAAATTGTTGCAGAATGATTCAGTGATAAATGGGTGCATTAATTAAAGAAACCATAATTAATAACAAACAAATTTAATTATAAAAACTATAAAACGATGTGATACAATCTGGGGCTCGCCAATGAGCCATCCAGTTCAATCCATCGCCTGCCACATAAGTGATTACGGAATTATTGTTAGTGATTACAACGCCCTCTTCTGGTCAGGCAGAAATTCGTAATGCAAATCAAGTGCATTGCTCCAAAACTATACATAGCCGAAGGTTTCAAAAGCATTGTTAACTCTTAAATAATTAACAGCTTAACATCATCAGATGGGGTATATTTATGTATCTATAAAAGTCCACTACAGCAGCCAAGGTGCCAATAAGATTTTAAATTTGTTATAAAAAAAGGTTTAGATGGGAGTGGCTAGTTGTTATGCCCTTCAAGTTAGTCCCTTTCTGCAATGTTTTTTTTCTCTTTAGTTTTACACGGGCCTGTGTCAGAAAGTTGCCAAAACATAGCGGTCATTTTGGTGTTGATATACATGCAGAAATATTCCCCATATAATGTTTGACTTCACCTATATTTATAATTTCTAGATTTCTAAAAGAAGAGAGTCTATGTCTCCCATAATCAAAAAACATAAGTATGTTATAAGCTTTTTAGTAGCAAAAGTAAGTAAAGTAATTTATAGCTTAAAGGAACTTTTATTTGAATGTGGTTTAGTCTCTAATGTGTGTGTTGGTTATATAGAACCTTGTCAACAAATCTAAAAAAACAGCCTATATCTTTAAATGCTTACTTTATAAATTTGAATTCTTGTAGTTTTAATGATTTATGTTATTTATTAGACAGACTTAAACTATTTTCAAATTAAATAAGAAATACTATATTCTAAATGTTTAAAGATAGAGTGAGCTATAAGTGTATAGATGTAAATAAAGATAATTATTGATATATAATTGATACTTAAGTTTTGATATTATCATTTTTATAGCTTTTATATATAACTTGGTATATATGTGAAAATTTAGAAACTGGTATGAGAGGTCAAAATAACTTTGTTTCTGATTTACAGCATCTGAAGTGTATGGTGCTATGCTGATTACAAAATCTTTTAAAGCTCGCATTTGTGGTCATGAAAAAAATCCTGTTACTGCCTCAGAATGTTTATATTCGATGATTGAAAATGGGAATCCTGATCATTATATGATTGCTACCCAAGAAAGAGAGCTTAGTGAAAAAGTAAGTTATTGTGGTTTATGTCCCTACTAAGTGATATTGATTATGTTTAAGTAAATTTATATAAATCGATTCTGAAAGAATGGGTATAATAAAGAAAGAAGTTGTGTGATTAGTATATTATGCTTTTATAATAATGATTAAATAAAATGCTTTTTGAAATTTCAAATAAAAGTACTTTTAGAGATGATAATTAGTAAGAGCATACTATGTCATTTAATATTGAGTAGTATATATACATTCTAAGCACGCTTTATTAAGGTCGAGTCTAGTTTTCAAGCTAAATTGGTTTAGATGTACGGTGGAACCTCCTGTTATGGTCACTCTCGTGAATTTTGTATTACATGCATTGAATAGGGGCATATTTTTAAGTCCCCGTGAATCATCTCTGAATAAACCATTATGTGCATTCTCTACAAAGCAGATACTTCCGTAACCGAGCGCGGACAGTCATCTTTGACCCGAAAAGTTATTTTCTATATCTTCAAATCAGACACTATTTTTCTAAATTTGAAAAAAAAAATTTACTTTTTCTGCTTTAAATTGCAAGAAAAAAGAATGTGCAACTTTTTCCCATTGCTTTTTCTGTAACTAAAAATATTATTAAGCTATTTCACTACTGAGGAATCAAAAAAAAAAAATTTCCTATCATGTTTCCTTATCTTTGCAAGGAAAGGAGAGAAAATGATTCTGCTCTTTCGGACAACTGCAACTTTTCATCTGGGCGACACAGGCTATGACACCCCACAAGCTGAAATGGCGTCTTAATTGCTCTAAATGCTTCATCCCAACTGAAAATTTCTTTTATTTTCTTATAAATTTGAAGACACAATTGAGGTAATAAAAAAATAGAAACATTATCTTTTTAAGGTGTTCATATAAATGAAAAATTTATTCAGACACTTGAATTAAGAATATATCAACTCCGTAGGTCCTCGTACCATACAGATAAGCATTGACTCTTTTGTTTTCTGTGAATCGTGAGAGGTTTACTTTTGAGGACGTATTGACCATGTTACCTATTGAGTGATGGGTAGGTGTTAGGGGTGTAAACTAATAGTTGAAACCAACTGAGGACTAAAAGCTTCTATTCAGTATCATATGATTAACTTGAATATCTGTGTTAATAGGAAAATTATATTCATTCTGTAGATACATCTAGAATTACCTATTTATATCAAACTTTTTCATGCATTCTTTTTGTCTAGAAAAAAAAATTTAATTTTAAATAAATATTCTTGTAGATAAGTATTGTAGATTATTTAATTATTTCTATAGCATTGAAAATATTCTAAAAGCAATTTACAGTGTTAAACTTCGTTATAAGGGTACCCTTCCTGTAAACGGACACCTCTCTTAAATACACAATTTTTTCAGTCCCAAGAGTGTCCACTCAACTAAGGTTTCATTGTACTTACATTTTCATTATCAGTAAGCATATTTCTTTGAAAATGTTATTGTCAACTTTGCCAACTTAATATCTTCAAATTTTAAAGTAAATTTTGAGTAAAAAATAGCAATTACATGGATATTTTAAATTTAATGGATTATCTAAATTTAATGTGCCATTTCGGTGATGTAAATGATTTCATATATAACAGAAGAGAAAATAATATTTAGAAAAATTTCCCTCTCTGGTGAATTTGTATTAGCTTTGCAACCGTTAGGGAAAAAATCAAAGAATTTTATAAAATTCTCATTAGTTGCTTAACAATGGATTTCTCTTCTACACTGGATTTTTGACAAAATTTCTTGAGAAAAAAAATAGTAGAGAGTTCCCTTAAGAGTATGTAATTCTGTATTTATTTTTGTAACTTTGATAATTTAATATAAATTATCTATTATTTATTACTTAAAAAGTTGTAGAAAATCTCATGCAATTCGGGGTTTTATTTCCTGGCATGCATGCTTATACCTGAAGAAATATTTAATGTAAAGTTGACGCACAAATTAATGTAATATTAAACTTTTGACAAAACCTTTCACTAAAGTCTTGTCAAAATTACATATCATTTTTAGATTTGAATTTTTTTTTCTTCTTCTAAATATTGCATTCTTTTAGAATTTTCACCATTTCTATCTTTTTGATTCTCCTTAACTTCTTTAAAAATACTTTATTGACACAAATATTTATGTTTCATTGAATGCATGTGACTATTATTTCAATATGACTAAGAATATGTATCCGTAGCTTATTTAAGATTGGGTCTGCATCTGAAAACTATGTTAAATTATTAATTCAGTTTATCTACTATTTCTCTGCAAGTGTGTGTGTGTATATATATTGCAAATTAAACACTTTTGGTTATATATTTCTCCATGGCCATGTGATATTTCTAGGTTACGTTTGGTTTCAATCAACTTCTCTTTTTTGTTGTAAATTATTCTTTCTCTATTTCATATTTTGTTGTAAATCTATATTTTGTTCACTTTTATTATAGGAGTTTTTTTTTCATTTGCTTTGATATATTGCAGGTTCCAACTAATATCCTACAATTATGACCCATTCCATATGAAAGTAACTATTCTAAAAAGTCAAAATTATTACAACTATATGTTTATAGTTAACTCTCACAACAACGTCATCCAACAAAACAATATTTTGTGGTCTATTAATTCGCTGATTCAGCCATAAACCCCTACAAAATTTTGTTTTTCTTATTTTAAATTTCAGTATTATATCCTACCTCTACAACCTCGACATAATGTTTATATTGCTACTGTTAGCCAGTAAAATAAAACCTACATGTTTAATCTTAAATTCACATCTAAATCCATTTTTTTATTTTATTTTACTTCAGTGTCGGCAAAGTCCTGGTGTTCCATTGCTGTATGTAAAATACAATGCTGTAAATCTGGAAAAGCCATCTGTATTAAGTGCAGAAGATGCTGATATGAAATCTAAAGCAAGTTTAAAATATTCCGAAGAACAGATTGCTTTGATGCAAAAATTGAAGGCCCAATTACCCTCTGACAGTGTAGAGAGTAAGAAGACGACTAAAAGAAAAGCCAAAGGTCCAAATCCACTTTCGTGCAAAAAGAAAAGCAAGGTTAGTGCTCCCCCACCGGAAAAGACAAAGAAAAGAAAACGACACAAAAGGAACAAGAATAAAATTCCTTCTGTAACTCAAAATGAATAAAACTTTGCTCTTATGTATATTGTGTATTATTAAAATATAACTTATTTAATTCAAAAATCTTTATCAATTTTTTTTTAAACTGTACCTATCGATTTAGAACTAATTTAAAATTTGACTTTAAATGGAATAATGTGATACTGCTTGTTTTGCTTCTTAGGCTGGTTTTGTATGAAGTAACAGTCAGTCAAAGTTCGCCAATTTGCATCTAGAGATGCATTTTTCATGTCTTGGATTTAAATTTTACTCCTAAAAATTTTTACTGGAAGTAAAAATACTTCTTATGCAATTTTTGTTAAAATTATTAGTTTTTTTCCTGCTGGTGGATAAAGATAATCCCTCAGAAAATCAGTCAATTTCTGTAGAGAGTATTACAATGACTTTTTTCATGTATTTCGATTTTAAGAAATTTATTGCTATTGCTCTATCACTGCCAAATTAGCAGTGTAGTAAAGCAACAGCTTTGAAAGAGATTTTACAACACAAAATACAATGAAATCTGAGCAGTAAGCTTTGTAGCAATTAGATGAAATTGTTTTATGATGGACACTTTTTACATGCCACCAATGAAAATGTCAATTGTGACATGTGTATGGCATATGTCAATTGTGATGAATGTACTGTTAAATAGTAGGGGAGAAAAAACTATGAAAAATTCAAACAATGATTGTTTGTACATTTTTTTAGAAACCTTAGTCTAATTAACCTTCAAATAGTGATAATAATTAAAAGAAATTGAAAATAATCTTTTTTTGGTTAAACATTCAAATATTTCTAGTGTGATTCCGAAAATTCACCCGTCTATTTCAAAATGCAGTTCTCTAAAATTAATAAATTTGTGAAATTACTCTCTTAAAATTTATCTTTTTATAACACTGCTGCCAGTCATATTTTCATTCCCTGCATTTATTAAATAAAAAGAATAAAGGATAGAGATGTCAAATATTTAATTGTTTGATGCATTTTAATGTTGATTTTATGAAATCCTTTAAACATTTAAAGAAGATAATAATGCTACAATTAGAATATGGATCATGAAAGTTTTAATATTTTCTTGAAGTACTATTATTTTTAAGATGTATCTGATTATCGTCTGAGAAAAGTGAGATGAATTTTTTTGGTTTTTTTTCTATCACAGTGGAAGACAGATTATAGCAACATACTCTAAGCTATTATCTGTCTTCCACTCCGAATATTTTAAGTCAGCACAGTGCTGAAAACAGAATTTGTATCGACCAGTCAACGCTGGGATTAAAACCTGGGTCACCTCATTTGGAGGGGAACGCTCCCGAGTCACTGCGGCTCTGTAAATGACGTTTGTCCAACAGATTTATCCTGCTTAGTGTTCAGCCTACACTTGCTTCGTTAACCTACACACCAGTAAGAACCAACATTCAAACTCTGTCCTCTAGTTCTCGTCATCTTTAATATTGAGGTATGTTATAATTTTAGTTTTCTTTTTTAAGGATAGTTTGTAAACACGTTTTTTTTTTTTTTAAATCCAAAAAAATTTTCCATTGAAGGATTGGAAGAAATATCATAATTTTGTTTTGCTTTTTTTTAATCATAGAAAATAATTTTTATGTTCAAAAATTTTGTCAGTGAAAAATACATAAAAACAAACGCAATTTTTGAAAATATAAAAACCAAACTAAAAGATTTATAATATTGAATTACATATTTGAAAATGCAAATTGCATAAATGTTTTTTAACAATTTTGTCAGAAAAATGTAAGGAAAATATGAGATACTGTGGGCCACCACATCTAATTTTGATTTAACAATTAGAATGAATACTCTAAAAATATAAGCACAATGGAAAAAAATAAAAAGTTTAAATTATATATAATTAATTGCTTTAATACTTAGAGTTCTGTTAAAATTTTCAAGCTTCCAATTGAGAGAAGGACTCTATGTCACTTTATTTGGATGAAAATTCTAACCTATATGTTGAAAATGCTAAATTCTGGCACCATTTTATCAGTAGTTATGAATAGATTTTGATGCTATATGTACTCTTTATTTCATTCGTTATAACTTAACATTGTTTTGTTTTTTTAACGAAAAAAATTTTATTTATTAATTTTAACAGAATTTGGTTTTACATAATTACTCTCATAAATTGTGAAATATATGTAAATTTTAATACTTTTGCTTTAATTTTCAAAGAATTACATAGAATAATAGTTAATTCATATTTGCATTTATATATTTCTGTACAGAAATTATTTTGAAAAATTCTGACCTGATTATTTCTTTGCTTTCTTCTGTAGTATGTGATTGAATAACGGTGAAAATAAAATTTCAAAACACTGTTGAGTAAATCAAGGTAAAAAAAACAAGCTAACAATAAAAAGGAATTTGTTTGTGAAAGCTGGGGAAACAAGAATAAAAGTGAATGATGAATTGCTACTCTGCTAAAATTGACTTCCATTTACTTCTTTGAGAAGCCTTTAAGTTAAATATTTACCCGACAGATGACACTACCAGATGAGAAAGCCGAAAATAATTTCTCTTATTTCCTTCAAGTCTCAAAAAACAATCCAGAGATGGCAGCACCATATGCTTAAATAATATATTTTAATTTTTCTTTTATGTTTTTTAAAATAAAAGATTCGATTTTTTTCAATAAAAATTAAATATATGAAAGGAAAATCGCTATGTTTCTAAATTAATTTTTTAAGTTTAGTGTACATTAATGCATTCCTGCTTTTCCTGTCAGTTATTTTATGAATTTGCATTATTATTCATAAAATAATTATTACTAGACCACGATTAAATAATTAATGAATTATTACTAGACCACGTTAAAAAATGTCGAAAAAATTTCTAGTCTATGCTAGACCCCATAAATTAAATTTCAGAAAATAAATTACCTGATGGAATACAATTAACATTTATGAACTATTCTAAATTTATTGTAGTTAATATTTCCTTTAATGAACTGATGAGAATTTTTTTTTTTTTTCGAATTTCAAAATTAAGCGTTTCTGTATAAAGAACATTGGATTGGATATTCTGATATAACTAATTCCTAGTTTTAAATTTATTTAAAATTTTAAGTTCAATTGAATATATTTTATTTTACCTTTCTGTGAGAGTTTAAAATTAAACAAATACATGTTGTTACTTATTCCATTTGTCAATGCAAGCAAGTTTGCTGAAACAAAACGAATTTAAAGCGGCTGGAGCGTTTCTTGTTTTTAAGTGGCGCCATCTATAGCCAAGAATACGAACTCAATCACTCACGTATCACAGCGGATCGTAATTTTGACCTGAACCAAAGAGCGATCAATCTGCAGTTCAGTACCTCCAGAGGTATCAATTTGTTACGGGAACTTGGAGTGAGAAAAATACTTAAAGATAGTTGCGAAATGTGAAAAGAAGTGATAGAGAAATTTTGAATCAGAAAATTTTTTCAAACACAATTTCAACAACTCTTTCAAAAAATAATGATGTAAACCGGAAATTCTTTTAGTATTATCAGTCATTTTTTAACAATTGATGAAAGATAGATTAGGTTAAAAAATAACTTACCAATTAGTTTATCATTATTATTAGTATTATCATTAGCCATTATTATTAGTATTATCATTTATCAATGAGTAAAACATGCAGATAGTTATTCAATTTGTAAAAACAAGTAGATTTTTAATTTATGGGACTCATAATGTTTAAAGAATTTTATTTGTATTCAGTAAATACAACTATCAAATATGAAGAAAAAAATCACCATTTTAATTTTTATCTCGAACATTATAATGTATTATAATTTAACACATACATGAGGTATTTAAAAGGAAAGAAAACAAGTCTACGAGTTTTGTAATAAATTAATTTATCAAATTGCTTCCTTTTTTTATTGACATAATCCATTCCTTTGTATTCTCCATCATATTTTTATTGCTACCCTTTTTAATGAATTCGGGAATGATTGTCAAATAAAAATTATAAATAACATAGAACTGCAAAACTGAAATAAAATATAATATGGATGAAAAAATATGCCTAAAATGATTTCTTGAAATTCGATTAATTGAATTTTATTGATAAACTTTGATTTGAAAATAAAATACATTTTATTTGATTAAATGAAACAATAAAACTATATATTTTTTTAAACAAATTAAGAAAATAAATTCAAATTACTCTATTATTTAATTTAATAAATTTCTTAGTAGCCCTAATATACTCTTTGGAGAGAAAAAAAATATGTAAATGAAAATGAGGGCGAAGAAAGAGAAAAAAAATTAAAACCAGGATATTGTTTATCATTCATCAATTTGTTAAACATGCAGATAATTATTCAATTTGTGAAATATGTAGATTTATAATTATTAATATGTAAAACATAAAGCAGATTTTTATAGTTTAGGCAAAATAATTTCTATTATGTTTTTGGTAAAACTGCTTTGTTTGATTTTTATTGCTATTATTTTTTTTATATAAATAAACTCTGCTATTTGTAGATCTTAGTTTTCAGTTTTTGTAATATATATATGTATTTTGTAATATATACAAAACATTATAAAACAACTGTATTTCCTTCTAATCATCAAAAAATGATCATATATGAATTCTTGAAAAAATGAATTAAAAAAATACACATTATTATTTAAACATTTATCTTTGTTTTTGTAAAAAAGAACAGATATGTTTTAAAAATAATCATTAAAACGGTATAAAGAAGAGTCAGATAAAGTAATGTAATAATAAAATATGACAACAAGGCATTTATGACAATAAAGTTTTTAATTAATTTTCTGGAATGCATACATATAATTTTCTTCACCAGCATCTTTTTCTTCTGATACGTATATAACAAAAATATTCCATCTAGAGAACTAACAAAAATTTTCTACAAAAATATCGTATACAACAAATGCATCACCTAATGATTTTACGTATACAAAGTGACTAAAATGAACTTAAAGTTCTCAAAATAAATAATAAATTAATAAACCTATAAATTCATCTGACATGCAAATTTCTGCAATAATTCGTTTGATAGGGAGTTCGAAAATTCAACCGATAAATTTAGATAATAAAAAATGACATCACGAGAATGAAAACTTATCATGGAACATAAGAACAACTACGTTTTGACAGTGAAAATCGCGAAAAATTGATGGACGTGGGAATTGATGGATTGATGGACGACACGCACGGGATCCTTTTCATTGTCTTCACGTTCGCCCGATCTTAATGCAAATTTTTCTACGAATATTTTTTTTAAGGGGTCACCTGAAGTCACAAGCTTAAAGCAACTATGTGGATACACTAGAGAATCTTATGTCGTTTACGCAGACATCAAATATCGAACTGGCCTCTGTGAAATCATCCGGGAATCGTTTTTATGTCGTTATACAATGTAGAATGGCGTTAACTGATGGCACTTCGAAAAACTCTTGTAGTAATTAGCTAAATAAAACATTTTGTAGTTCTTTTCCAGCTTCGAAACATGCATGCATTGCCCACGATTTTAGCCTTCTCAACGCGTTTGGAGGTTCTATGTTTCCATGACTTTTACTACCCGTCAAAATTTGTCAGTTCGATTTTGGAACACCCTATGTGTGTGAAGCAATTGGATTTGACACCAACTAAATCCAATTTGAAATATTTTATTGTAGAGACATTCCTTAGAAGGAGCCGCAGCTTATGTTTGTTTTCTTCTAAATTTACTCTTAAGTTTTAATTAAATTGTTTCTTATGTTGTGGTAGGAAAATTTCTATTGGGAAATTTCAGTTTTCGCCTTAAGTTGTAGAAACATTTTTTTTTCCTAGTAGGAAAAATAAATTTAGTTTCTGCATTAATATGTTGTTGAACTAAATTCTTTTAAATTGAGGGAGAGAAAAGAAAGCGAGAAAGGGGGTGGGGGGTCATGATTCCTCTTTCAATTTAGTTTTTCCTTTTATAACGAAAAAAAAAAAAATTAGATTTAAAATATTTTGCTAAATTAGTTTTGGCAAGATAATTGTAACAATTATAACCTTGTTATTTCTGCTTTATTTTGATGTAAAGCTGCGTTTTTTAAAATACGTATAAGTAAATAAAAATTAAAAAAAAAACACTTCTTTTCGAGTATTTATATCTGTAGTTAGCACTAAAAATGTTTTTAATTGAAATTCCAGTTAAGTAATGAATTAAAAAAATTAAAATAATTTTGAAAATTTGAGACATGTCTGCAACTGGTTAGAAAGGTTAAAAAGATATTGAATTTTGCAACTATAAAAAACAGAGAAAAAAAATTCACAGTTGGTTTAGATTAAAAATGGATTGAACTAAATTTTGAAATAAGGGCCTTATTCACAATCGCGAAGAATTACATAAAAATCAAATATTTAAATTACATAAATTTTACAGTTTTGTTATACAAGAAAAAAAAACTGCGAAATGATGTCCCCATGCATCTTCAAGGGATTTATATCGTTCGAAAGCTATACTGTTTACAAATACATGCTAAAAATCTAAAATTTATGCTATAAAAAGCTAGAACATAAAAAAAGCTGTAATAATTTAATCAATTCCTTGATCATAACTGTTTGATTAGAAAAAAAATATTTGATTATTTACGATCTGTCTATCAAATTCAAACATGCAGTTTCTGCAAAGTTAGGCTTAGTATATTTTTAATAAATATTTTTATATACAATCAATTTTGTAATATGAATTATTTACATATTTTCTGTATTATATACAATTTCGGAAATTTCCAGAAATTTCCATATAAAATCCACAGCAAAAAATAGAAAATTAATAAATTTTTTAAAACATAAGGCAAGGAACTTTTTTATCGATTTCTGATGAATCTCGCAACATGGAATCAATCAGATATATAATATTCTTTTTGTGTTCTTAGTTTCAAATGGTCTGCAGGAAAACTTTTGGCAACATAGAAAGTCATCGAACAAACACATCCATACTGCATTCTTTAAAATCGAAACTGGATTTGAACGAGTTAATTATAAGAGGAACTTTCCACATAAGGTATTGTTTATTCATGATAACACTTTATCAGTTTAGCCTTCTTTAATATACTTTCAGAATAGTTTTGATGCTCTAAGAAAGCATATAAGAAAGAACAGCACTCGTATTTCAAAGCAATAAAACTTATATGAATCCATGCTTCCCAGAGCCAGCAATGTTTTTTTTTCTCCATCTGTTCCAGTTCTAGAACGATCTGCCCATTCCCGATAATAACCGTAAGATTCTTTTATTTCTGTATATACCAGAACTATCTTATGTAACTACTATGCGTAGCACCATTAGCACAATTTCAGACCATCTCCCGCCACTCATAAGTCGTTTTGCAATGAGAGTGGTTCCTTTAGATGTAATATTATTAGTCGTAATGTTATGCACATTTCAATAACATTTGAAGACATGTATCATGAACCGGTGGGGGTTGTTTCTACTATTGTCACTGGAAATAATCATACACATTGATGCTGAGCGACTTTCTCAACGCATGTTTTGCATTTAACATCGCAACACCATTCAAACTTGCATTTGCAGACACTCTCCACCACTACAGTTTTCACTTGGATGTTATATCCGCAAGCTCTGCAGAGTGTTTTGCAACTTGCTCTCTCTGCGTCTGAGACATCACTTCCCGTTCTTCTCGAACATTGCCTTCCAGACACTCCAGCAACGCCAGCTGTTTTGTTCCCCACACAATAATTTGGTGAAATTTCATTGTAGATTAGCTGGTTCTTCGGCAACTTAGGCCTCTGTTGATAATAAATAGAATTTTCGTGGTGATGCCTACGCCTCTTTACGGTTCTTATTAAGGCATTATCGTTGTATTCGACTGGAACTGCTGAATCATAAGCCTTTTTCAGAAGTTCCCCAATTGGCTTTAATTCCTGAACTCTCATCCAGCATGTCTTCATCTCACAGCTCCCTGACACTCCATGGCATTTGCACATTCGACGCATGTTTCGTTTAACCATCTAAAACAAATGATAATGATGATACATTATTGATGATGCATAATGATAATGATGATACATACATATTTAAAGGCTCACATTTAGTAAACATATGCACAAAATTAATCAGTGTACTCTTACAATCATAATTCTGCCTACAATACCCTATAATAATTTAATGGATAGGAAGAATTGATATAACGCGGGAAAGAAAACAAAATTTAATAAGCTTATGGGTTCCCAAATTCTGTAGTTAAGCAAATAACCCTTCTGGGCATTTTTTCTACAAAATTTTGATACACAGTTAAGGGTAGTTGTGTTCATTTCTATTTCAAGAATATGTCCAATTCAGCTTTAGACAGTGAAAATGATTCCCTGATTCGTAAGCATTGCGCTAAGTGGTACCACGAGTGTTCTATGAGTTTTAGGTACTGAGAAGGCCAGAGAAGATGCTCTACATCTATAACTAGATACTTCTATTTGATAGAGACTATAGACTGCATGGCAAAAAGCGTTGTCATTCTGGAAATAACCTTTGTCAACTCCATAAAATTACCAGAATGTTAAATGAACTAGATCGCTTAAAAGGCCTATGCAGACGTTGGAGTTCAAATTACTAGGATCAACTTGCAACCATGCCCCGAAAACACGTCTAAACGTGCAGTCAGATTTGAAATAAATCCGCTGGTATCCGGTCCATTATTATAGGGTAGAGTATGAAAGCAAAATGGCACATATTTGAAAATGATTTAATGGTATTAAAAATGACCTTAACTAATCAACCACTCGCAGTCTTTTCTTCTTTTCTCTTTTTTTTTTTTTTCTTAATCTGAATGCTCAAATTATTTTATCACATCAAATAAAAAAAGTAGTAAAGTTCTAAGAATAGTATCAATATTATATACTGACTGAAGTGTGATTTATAGTTTAAAAAATTTCATAATATTATATAAATAGTAATTTATAGTAAAAAAAATCTAAGAATCTAAGAACAATATTATTTACTGACTTAAATGTGAATTATAGTGGAGAAATGTGTTCAAATGAATGTGTTCAGTTCAAATGTGAACTTTTTTTTTGACAATATTTTACCGTGTTAAAAACAGTTATCAAATGAATGCTAATTAATTTAGGCCAGCAAGGAGATAAAAAAAATAATAATAAGTTGCATTGTATGACGCAACAGAGAGAAATCTTACTCCTTGTCAAAATAAATGCCTACAGCTCTTAAAATGGTCAGTTTCGTTAATTTTTGCATTTATTGAATCCTCTAATATCTTTGCATACATTTTATTCATAAAAATATACATTTCACAATTCAGTTAAATTTAAACTTCAGGAATAAGAATAAGTAACATTTCAAAAGAAAAATTCATACCATTCTTCCAACTCTGTTGTTATGCAAATTGATCATGGCTTGTATATCTCTTCCATGTTCTTTACTGTCCATATAATGTTTGGCCATTTTGTTACCAATTTTAACATTGTCACTGCATCCTCCCCATTCCCATCCTGCATAACCTGTCAGAATAAAGTAATTCCCATTTTAAAAAAGTACATTGAAAACAGACACAATTCAGGCTAGAAATATGGATTAACGAATTGGATTAATTTACGAACGAATTGGATTAATTTACGTAAAAGCTTTGTTTTTCCTTACCTAAAGGTCCTTTTTTCGTCTCATCACATCCACATGAATTAAAATGGCCTAAACTGCAATTCCTAGTCAGAGTTATGACTATCGAGGCACTGATCATAGCGTGAATGAAAGCCATTTCTTTTGTTGCTGTAAAGAAAATTATTTATTTAAATTTAGTAGTGCTGTTTCATACCTTATAGAATAATGAAACAAAGTTTGATTAATTAAATAGATAGTACGTAGTTCAAGACTAGCACATTAAAGTCGTGGGTTGATGTGTACGGAAATAATATATATTGATTTATTAACATTCCGTTGATCACGAAATTGTGAAGGCTTCTAACTTCCATGATTTAATGTTCTTAAAACAGAAATCCCTGGAAGAGACTCCCTAATTGAAATAGTTTTTTCAAAATTATTTGATAGGTGAAGCAGTGAGTTTTCGAACGATCAGTTAAAAACTTTGATGCCAGTTTTTTTAGTTTTCTCGAGAGGTCAGCTATGTATACTATTACGGATTAAGCTCGATATCGATTTAGAATTCAGTTTTTGATATTGACAGTATTATTGCATTGTATGCCAGCATGTTTTTACGATGTTTTGAATTTTTATTGCTTATGAAAAATTTTACAAAAATACATTTTAGTTTGTAACTAGTCTTAGTGTTCATTTGTTTAATAAACTGATCGATTTTAGTAAAGTATACTATTTTGAAAAGTGCAATTCTACACATGAAAATGAAAATTGTGAGAGCGTTGCAACATTAGAAAGGAATACAGTATGTGTTATAAGGTTTTTTTATAGCATTTTTATTGAAATGTTAGCGCAATTCTACGAATAGAAATGAAAATTGTTAAAGCGTTGCATCAGTTAAAAGGACGACGATCTGAGTTATAAAGTTTTAGAGATAACATTTTTATTGAAATGTACAATTTAATTCTTGAACTTTTCTTTGATTCTGCCGGCAGTCTCTGTTATAAGTAAGTATTTGAGGGTTTCATATATTAAAAGTTAATTACAGAATGATTATGAAAATTATTCAGGGTAACATTTTGCTTTGCAGCTCAAATTTTATCAAAACGTTTATTTTTCTTATTTATAAAAATGAACTAAAATTTAGGGAAAACATTTTAAATCAAAAAAAAAAAAAAAAACAAATATAGAAAACTAGCTTAATAATTTTTTTTATGGAAATTCCATTTATGCAAATAACAAATTGCAGAACTGTACGAACATGAACAAATTAGGGACTTAGAATACCATTTTACTGAAAATAAAGGGATCGGTTTTGTCTAAAATCCAGAAATTATTCTATGTTGCCCTTCAAAATAAATTTTGACCTATATTGCCATTAAAATTTCGAATAACGCCCTTAGTGTTCATAGTTTAAAACTATCATTAGAGCACATTGCGTAAATTAGCGCTTAGCGCTTTTCACAAGGAACAAAAGAACATCTTGAATGACTTTAAACGTAAGTGAATGTTTTCAGACAAACGAAGTCATTTTTTTGCAAAGGAAACACGGTTCTTAAAACATTTTTAAAAGAAACACCCATTTAGAAGTTTAAAAAGGATTCTAAGTACAATAAATTACAAATGTTTGCGTGGCTTGGAATGCGTTTTTGATTCTAAGGAGAGGTTGGGAATGCTTTTTTCTCAAGAACTTTACTTTTTTGGTGAAATTAAGGCAGTTGGCTATAACAATAAAAATTGTTATTTAATTTAAACTCGCTTGACTTTCCGAATGAACTTAATTTTTGTAGTTTGTGTAGTTAAAAATTTTGATCTTCTCTCTCTTTTTTTTCTTTTTGTCTGTGCCAAACGGGGTATAAAAAACTAGATTATTTCTTAGCGTCCTGAGATATCAAAGAATTTTTTTTTTCTGGGGAGGGGGAATGAGATAGTAAAAGCAATAGCAAGATATCGTTTAGGGAAAATGGAACAACTAAAGCAAAATTTCTTGATTACTTGATGCTTAGAAAAATTTAACAACTGAAGAAAAAAAAATTGTTTTAGAATATGGTACAAATAAGAATAAAATGTCTTGATTACTTGATATTTAGATATATTAAGCTACAATGAGATATTGATAATAATAAAATAATAAAAATAATACAATAACAATAATAATAATAAAATGATAAGCATAATAATAAAGTAATAATAATAAAAAAATGATAATAATAAAAAATAATAATAAAATATTAATAATAATAATTAAATAATAATAATAAAATAATTGATTATAACAATAAAATAATTACAACTTACCTGGATATTTTTGGGATCTTAAGAAGACGTTGTAACTCTCTTTTGGACAGCCCCAGGGCTCCCACCTGAATTGGTTTCGACATTCCTCCATACCTCTTTCTGCTGCAATAGCAACGCTGTCTGCATAGATATCCACAGCCTATAATAATAAGAAAAATTATAGCACCCAATTATTCAAAATCCGCCTTTGTTCTTTATCACTCAAAATTCTTTCTTAGAAAATTCATTTGATTTGAAATTTAAAAGAAAATATAAGTAAATAAAGAAAACAAATATATAGCAAAGAAAATAAAGTTGTAAGCAATGTAAAATTTCTAAAGTAAAGGAATACAATTTTATACTTGAATGTATCCAATACAAACAATAGGGTAAAGGGTTTTCTTTTTATTATCAGTATGAATATACTAAAAGTGAATTCCTTTAAAAACACGTGTTTTAGTGATAGAAAAAGGTGAAATTAACGTTATATATATAATTCTTTCTTTTTAAAACAAATAGCGGATTGATCGTTGCAATAGCTGCACACAATTAAGATGATACTTTGCAGACACATTAACAGGCTTTGTAGACTATTATGAAACAGGATTTTAAGTAATTTAATTTAGGTTAAAAACACAGATTTTTAATTTACAATTTTGAATTTGTATTGATTTTTTACCGTACAGTATGAGGTAATGCACGGAATAGCAAACCAAGAACGTTTCCTTCGAAGTTTTGCATTAGTCGCCATTCTTGACAATCATTTTGCTTAAATATAACCGAATTCGATGATGCAGTGTCCAATATTTCTTCGTATAAAGCGTGGGTGGCTAAAGGGCTTATTGTCATAAACTTTTTTTTTTTAACAAAAAAAGACTTACGCTGTTAAATTACATGATTTATACTACTAACTCTGATTGACAAACTGGAAGCTATACGACTAAAAATACAAAAAAATTAAAATAGATCAGCTTTGTTTAGAAAAATGCCGTTCTTAAGAGCCAGTTTTTGCTCCGATGTCTTATGTGAAAACCTTGGCTGCATTTTATTGCACAATGGAAACGTTGGTAGAAATTATTGCTCAAATGGAGCAAAATTCTAATATTGTGTGAATTGAGACAACCTTCATGTCTTTAGAGAATTTTTCCATTAAAATTAACATTTTCTTACTTTTTGAAATAATGAATGGTGAATTCTAGAATTAGAATTCTAGAATCTTTTTTATGCGTTTAATCGGGTAAGATTAAATCCTCATTTTATGAAATCGTTATATTATGTTGACATCTTTAAATATTGTTAAAACTAGAAGAATCATGGCTNCAAAACAAATCATGAAATTAAAATTTGTTCGAGAAATTTTTTTTTAAAAACGCTAGTAAACAGAAAATGAAAATTTTAAAATTAAAAAAAAGGCCACAGCATTTTTTTTTAAAACTAATAATGAAAGTATAAGCACAAACTTTCAAAATTAACGAAATATAAACAAACCCGAAATAAAGTAATTTTCAGAATATTATAAGATATTACATAACAATTTGATATTTCTTAAAAGAAATAATGGCAAAATTATTTGTTACTGGGCCACGTATATTAAATATAGGTTACTATGTATGCATAATATTGAAACTGGACCACGAATATAGGTTATATATATAATAGAGGGCCCACAATATGGCCCTATAGATTACTAAGTATGTATAATATTAAAACTGGACCACGCATATTAAATGTAGGTTATATTACCGTTACATTAAATACAGGTTATATACATAATAGGGGCCCACATTGAGGCCCTATAGGTTACTATATTAAATATAGGTTATACATATAATTGGGGGGCTCACAATGTGTCCCATAAATTACAATGTATGTATAATATTAAAACTAGACCACGTATATTACATATAGGTTATATATATAAAATAGAGGTACACATTATGGCTCTATAGGTTACTATATTAAATATAGGTTATATATATATATATAACAAAATAAATAAATACAAGAAAACACGAAGAAAGTTAAGAAAAACAATAATTTAGGATATAATCGTGTGGGCTGATGAAAAGATTATAGCTTTTATTTTCGGTTTTTTTTAAAAAATTTCATCCTTTTTTTTTATTAATCAGTTTTTTTTTTCATTATTATTCCCCCCCCCCTTTTTCATATAGCTATAATTTTCCTTTGTTTTATCTTCATTTTGAACTTCCATTTTCCATTAAAATTAACATTTTCTTATTTTTTGAAATGATTAATGCTGAATTCTAGGATTAGCCATCTTTATTATGCGTTTAATCGGGAAAGATTAAATCCTCATTTTATGAAATATAATGGGTTGGTAGCTTCAAATGTTGTTAAAACTAGAAGAATCATGACTGAATATAGAGTGATAATCAGGTAAATTATTAATGTTTTTAAAAAACTCCCAAAATCTACGTTTTAAAATCTAATCTTCCCGATACTTTAATTACAATTGTATAACTTTAATAAACCTTCAATCTCCTACCTCAGAGCGCCGTTTCACCACGCTTGTTACGTCTCTATTGTGAGAGATAAAAAAAAATAATAATCTCACATCTCTTCTTTGGAAAAGCCTTGCCACGGAAACAATGTTATGACAAATATCGCCGTCTTCTCAACCACTCGTGAATTAGTAATTATTACCTTTCAGTATGGGGGGAGGAGAGTAATCTACGTTACAGGAAGCAATGAAATTCCATTTCTGTCAGAAGAGAAAAGGAAGAACTTTCTTCAATTAAGACATCACATTTTTCCAAATCAACCACCGCCGACAGAATGGAAAAGAGGGTGGGGGATGTCAAAATAAAATACCAAACCCTGAATGGCAATAAAATAGGAGGGAGGGAAGAAAAAAGTAAAAGATATAAACGACTCGTAGCAGGTAACGTGTGAGTGTACACGGTTTGGGCATATCACGATTTTTTTTTAATTAACTACCTAGGCTAAAGAAAATAAAGTAAAAAAAACAAAAAATACTTCGAAAGCACCATAGCTTATAAAGACCTCCAACGTTGTGAGGCAACAGGTTTAGGCAGAAGAGAGCTAGAAGCTGGAATGAAACCTGGACTGTCCAACCAAAATGAAAAGCGCCGCAGGTAAATTAGGGACCGCACAAGTGTTATTCATTATGGAATAGACGGCCCTTTGGCGTTTATGGAATCAAATTATCTCTATTAGTGGTTGTGCGATCAAGAGTGGTATTACTTTATAGAATTTTTTTTACCACTCTTTTCTTTTCATCCTGTCTTTATGGAAATCGTTTTTCTAGACCAACGCTTCTGGTGGGCTGTTTTTAGCGGTGGGCTAGTAAGAAGGAAAAAAAGAAAAAAGAACGTGTTGGTTGAGCGTAAAAAGGCTGTATTTTCTCCGTCAAAAGTGAATTTTTTTTCACCCTAACCCTATGATTGTTAATAGAACGTGTGAAGGGGTGGTGCCCTTTTGATAGGAATTGGCATTCTGCCTCGTCGCCACAGAAATAAGGTTTTTCTTTTCTTTTTTTCTTCAGAATTATTTTCGTAACTCAAATATACCTCATCGTTAATAGCTCAGAGCAGCTGTATTTGATTTTTAGCTGTACCCTAGACTCTAAATAATCATTTAAGATTTCGCGTGCGTTGAATTAAGTGTGATGTGCTCGGCGATGATGAATTTGATATCTGTTTTTATTTAAGGGTGATCAACATATGTTTATACAAATCCAGAAATATTTAGATCTTGCTTTTGATTTTGGGCTTGCTTCATAAAACAATTTTGTCACGATTTATCTTCTTTATTTATTTATTTATTTATTATTATTATTATTTTTGAGTGCAGTTAAGTATCAGAGTTTTGTCAATTTAATAGGATATGTACTAAATGCCAGTTGAGGTCCAACAGCGCGAGCTTAAAGGGCCTTAAAAATTAAAAAATAATGTTTTTTTTCCCATTGAGAATTATCTATTAGAAGTTTGAGCTAGTGAAAATTGAAGTAAATATAAACTAAAATTCTCGTATATTATATATCATTCGGCAAAAGCATTTTGTACACAAGGAAGATGTTATGGTTTAAAGTTGCGATCAGGGAGCCCGTGGTGGGTGGTTCTGTGCCTACTGTCTTTGAATTTTTAAATAAGTCCCAAATCTATTTAAATATCTATTCAAACTAACGTATTGTAATGGGTTTTAAAGTTCTGTGATAGACCAAAATAAAACTGATAAATTTTTATTTGAAGTTATGCTCAAGTTGGTGTTACAATTGTCGCCAATGATTGATTATTTTATGAATGAAAGGATATAGTATCATAGCTTTATATTTTATTTCGTCGTACCTCTGGGCATGACACCTTGCACTTTTATAATTAGTAGCAAGCGCCAGCGTAACGATCCTCACGTACCCAGAACAAGTCTTGCTCAATGTACTACTGGTCGCTAGCAAAGTTATAGGAGGTCTCTGTCATTTTTCTTAATAGAAAATTTAACAGAAGAAATACTTGTAGAAAAAATTTCATCAATCGTTATTTATTTACTAAATAAATCTGACCCCTGTAGCAACTTGAACGATAAATGGTCTTTGAATATCTGAAGTCATTTTCAAAAATACGAATCATATTTTACAATACAATATCGGAATCTTAAAAAACCTTTTCCAAAAAAAAAACAGTCTTTCATGCCTGAACTTTGTTTAAAAACATAAAAAAGAATTTAATAATAAACAATAATAATTCAAATCATAAAATCATTCAATTAAATTTATTTTTTCTCCGTAATGAGAGAAAAAGTATGAAAAATCTAAAAGAGCACGATTAAATTTTGAGTGTTTCTGGCTTTATGGAAACACCAAAGAGCTCGATTTTCGCTGAAAAGCATTAGTAAAATTAACAATAAAATATAGTTTTACAATATGTAAAAAAATTTAATAAATGAGGTAAAATTTTATGATTTTTATCATACCATAAAGCAATGCATAAAAAGCATTTATTCGGCTAAATTTACTTTTCAGTTTCGTATTTTTTAATAAATGTGGGGTAATAAGAACTATAATTTTAAAAACCAGAATTTCCGGTAAACTGTCACTAGATGAACGGAAAAGTTACCAAACGATCGGTTTAAGTACAGTATATTTAAGTTCTATTAAACAGAATTATGCTTCTTTTTTTATTT